GGCCAATTAGCCCTCTCAGAAGGTCAACAAGACTCTTTGAAGAGCGGTGGTAGTTACATATATACAAAGTATCTGTCGAACGTTGCTGACTAATCAGGAGAATAGAATCTGAATAGCAAGTTGTTCTATCTAATTGACCGCGCAAGGAGAGCCTATTTATACATACCAAATTGCTATATCAAACTGCCAATCCATGCGAAATAGCGCGAAACGTCAATACTAAAAATACATGTTAATTCGAGGCGAAACGCGTAACAAATCTGTGATAAAACGCATTCAAAACGTCGCACAATACGCCACCGTTTGATAACCGCAAATTCATCGAAGACGCGCAGAATCCAGTAGCGTTTGTTGCAGCGCTATATATCACGTGACATCCGGTCCACAGTATCCCTCCCTCCACCTCCACGCACCCACTCAATCGCTCTGGCACGACACGGATCCCCGAACATGCAACTACGTGAGCGGTATTCGTTCTGACTGATATGAGTATGTATGTACGGTAGGTGATGTTTGAGCCAGGAATAGACTGAGAGATGGGGTTCCTAGGTTAGCAGCATTGGTATGAGGGAGTGAAAAGGAGACCGGGGGGGGAGAGCATGTGGTTACGGAGAATACTATGTTAAGGGGCTTTTAAGACTAGTGTTAGATACGGTTGTTGTTCGAAAGAATTGTGGATAGTGGTAGTTGTTCTGAATTGACGTCTTACCCGGGTCGAGTGTTAAAGTAGAGGAGAAGAAGAAGGATTAGATACAAAAGGAAATATTCTGTATTTAAAATTCATTTCTATTTGCTGAAAATGCAGGATGAGGGGAGAGCTGCCATATGGGACTAATGTTGCCAGGTTCGATATCTATGGGATGCAGATGAATTCCGAACGGGGACACTGTATTAAGCGTCTCTGCATCCAATCGGCCATGGTACTCAAACACGTATTAGATTGACCATGTCACAACCCGGCCGCAGCATGTTGGAATCCACGGGGGAACTAAAAGTATGCAAGTTTTCCGTACAAAATTACGAGCATGTTAGGTCTTTATTCGCTGATTTTCCGGATCTCTGGGACTGAATATACCCCCGGGAGCCATGTCGACAGTACCTGCCGGTATGCAGATTAGGGGGATTCGGGAATCATACTCACCGTGGTTCATGGGAATGATCATTTTTCCTGGGAATTGTTTCGAGATTGACGTACCTTGAAAGCGACTGACCAGCAGCCACGGGCTCCATACACATCTGCTTCGCAGTTGAGTGCGTAAAGTTTGACTGTGAAAACATAGATGGCCGCATTCTCTCAGCGGTGCCGCCATCGCTGCAACTTAAATTCTGATCCCTTGAAGATAAGACGAAAGTTGTGTCGCAGAGGTTATTCACAATACTCTGGAGAGTGCAAAACCGTGGCAATCAAGAACTTGACTCACCTGTACCATCCGTCGTTTCTACCTCCTGTGTCTGATTTAAACGGCGTCTCTGCCGTGGACGCTCCTCTGAATCATTGTCTGAGACGTGTTCACCATGATGCGCGTCCTCTGGTTGGGTGATCTCAGCGTTCAAGTTGGCGAAGAAGCGGCCAAGAGCTGTTCCATCTCCCGGCTCATCTCCTTCAATAGACCTATCACTGGCGTGAAGGTTTCCCGACCCAAAGAGTGAGCGTTGATTATCTCCACCCGCTGCACTGCGTAGAGTTTCCAGCACTGCATCATTGCGAGCCATCAAGTCGTGGTACTCTTGGGCCAAGCGCTGGAAGCCCTGGTCGAGGCCGTTAGATGTACGAGGCTCACGCTCACGCCTATGCTGGCATTGAATGCAAATTCTTTGATTCACATCAACTCCGTAAGAACTGCCACGATTGGCACAAAATAGACATCTTAGTTCTCCATTTTCCCCATATGACATATCTTCATCTGAGGACCCATCATCTGAAATAGCTTGACCTAAGCTCAGTGCGGTTGGCGAATCAGGGAGTGGTGTCTCCAGCTGCATGTCTGTATGAGTGACACCTTGATCAACCTCCAAGGTTGATTGACCTGGATGAGTGATGTCCCGATCAGGCTCCACCGCCGGTAGATCTTGGTCAGTGGGTCCTTGTTCCGGTTGTACACTTGGCGGATTGGTTTGAATGACGCCCTGATCGGTCTCCACTGCTGGTGGAGGTGGACTTGGGAGGTCGATGTGATCATGTGCAGGATCGGGAGAGCTGGAGTCGACATCTATGTCCGCTCTTGTGCGCGCGAAAGGCTCTTGCTGATACAACAAACTCCACGGACGGTGGGCATGGTGTGCGCGCCCCAAGCAGACAACAAAGTTTTCTGCCAGAAAACATCGCAAAGTCGAATCTCGAAGCTTGTGATAAGAAACTGCGCTGTTGTTGATGGCATCTTGTTGAATCTCGAAGGTCGCATTGAGACGGTCTGCTTCTTTTTGAGCATTCACGTAGCTGGATTCGGCGGGATAGATCTGCACATCCTGCAACACACGGCACTTAGTAACGGTGACCTGTTGCCAGAGAGGAGCCAGATGTTGCTTCACGTACTCCCAATGACAATTTGGACAGAGCCATGGCACATCTTCTTCGTCAATTGCAATGTTGCACGCAAGGAAGCGTAAGCTGTCCTGGCATTGTCGGATGAATTCGTCTGGTATGCCATGAGAAGGCGAGCGCTGGTGACCGCAGTGGTACTTGCCCACAATGACCCGGATACACATTCTGCTGTTGAAAAAGGGGTCAATGGAAAAGGTTCATGAGCAATTGGAATGCGCTGTAGCACTTCTTCAGTTGTTACCAACTCGAATGGATTGGCCAACTTTCGCTGAAGGTGATTTATATTTTCCGTGGACAATGCCATGGTATATTTCACTAATGAACAAGGAATTGGAACAAAGAGTTTTCATTGTGCGATTGTCTGAGAACAATTGTCACCCTTTTTGCAAAAGGAACAAGGGCAGAGCGGCCTGAGAACTCATGATAGCCTGCATGCATGGCTTGTGTTTGGACGATGCACGGGTCCGCTATTATTATGGACTCTGCGGGAGAAACAAGTGATGCAGGCCGCGCCTTCAAGCAGAATACGAGGCAATAGGTGATATGTGTGTTAGGAAGGAGAATGACATGATAAATATAACAATGATAGAAAGCAAAGGGAACATATACATGGGAGGCGGCAGCAAATACTTTGAAGTGCGGCAAAGGTGTGGACTTATACTCAAAAAGGAAAGAGGATGCATAGCGTCAAGGGCGCATGCGACGGAATGCAGCCAGACATCATATACTACGATGGTGCTTCAGACTTGCAAGGACGCATACTGTTCATACACTAGATTATTACGTCGCCCAATGCCCTGCCCTACCAAGTAATACTTGGTCCCACAATGTTTAATACTAGGCCATGGTATTAGGCAACGTCTATACTCGGTTAAGCTCCGCAGTGGGAGTTTCAAGGTTATTATCTGGGAGCTCAGCAGTGTGAACGTCTGGCTTTGGTACAATAAAGGCCACGCCCTTGCCTTCAAGTTCTGGCTTCAGGCCACTGAATCCTTCAACGTTCGAGTTTTGTGCACGGTGCTTCTGCTGGCTTCGATGTTGGAAGTAAAGATACAACAACAGGCCGACAAGGAGGGCCCAGAAGGCACCGAGGGTTATGGCGACCTTATCTCCCGTAGTATGGCCAGATGGGGAGGTTGTTGCTGTCGATTGCGTAGGCGATGCGGCGAGGCTGCTCACCGTCGAGACGGTGTTCGATATAGCGGATGTAGTTGTTGAGGACTCACTTGTGGGCTCACTTGTGGGCTCACTTGTGGACTCACTTGTGGACTCACTTGTGGACTCACTTGTGGACTCACTTGTGGGCTCACTTGAGGACTCGCCTGTGGGCTCACTTGTGGGCTCGCTTGAGGGCTCACTTATGGGCTCACTTATGGGCTCACTTAAGAGCCCACTTGTGGATGAAACCGAAATCGAAGTGCTCGTTGAAGCCGTTCGATTTGATTTGATAACAAACCCTCGGCTAGTTAAAGTATGGTCCACGAAGCCTGGAGGATTACCCGTCGAAGTATGTGTACCAGAGACGTCAAGGAGTCGGAAGCTAAAGTTTGGGCTAATAGCTAATTCTTCCTCGGTGATCTTATCATTATCGCCAATAGTCCAGATGTAACTTCCCTCGTTCGGGTCGTTTGCTAGGACGGAGGATATTAGCTTGAGCATTCCATACAAAGGGAAAAGAGAGCGGAGGTGAACACAATCCTTGGGATACACGAACATATAAACACATTGAGGACGATATCCCTCCTGACATCAAAATGGTGCAATGCCAAGGAGACATAAGGCACAGTGGAGAACGGGACATTCCACGAAATCACAACCGTTTCTCCAAGCGTGAAGGTGGTGCTAAGGTCCAGAAGCTTCTGATTGTCCGTCGCATCTAACTCGGGCTTCAAAAAGCTGGGAGGATTCGTGAACCAATCGGCAGAGACATAAAAGGAGAACGACAGAGCTATAATAGTATTGACCACCCTGTGTGAGGTTAAAAGGAACATTCTTGTGATGGGTTGTGCACAAACTCTGGGAGTACTTGAGGAGGGATATGCTCTCTGTCTAAAGGGAATGGATATGCAACCGCATTGGCGCAGTCGGGACGGCAGAAGTGGGACAAGGCTGCAGGTTTCAAGTATCTCCCAATAACTTTTGTTACTAGCGAGGCGTCCTTAAGCCTGCATGCCCGAAGTGGAACTTGTAAAGGGAGATTGGACCAACAACTGATTCAAAGCACCAAAGGACCCTGGTGGTGAGTCTGAATGAAGTATTGTATGTAGTAAGATTAGCCAAAGGCTAGACGGCCTAAGCGCCTAAACCGCCAAGCCGTTTCATAGCGGTCACTTATCAAACTGTACGACTGCCCAAATCCTACAGCTTTGTAGGGGTTAGAAGGCCGGTAGACTCGTGCTGGCTTACTGACGCAGTTGATCAGCCTAAGATTGATGCCATCTTTATGCACTTGAAATTGCAGGCCTGTCCGAAGCAGGACGTGGAAGCAGTGAGGGAGAGCGGCGAAGACGGGGCCATAAACCAAATCTTAGAAGTTCAGCCTCAATCAATCAAGGGTAGACCTTAGGTAGGACAAGGGGAAGCAAGAAAGTGGGCATAAGGACCACTGGCTGAGGGTGACTCCTGCGGTGCCATCCCACGTCCTAGAAGAAAAGGACGGAAAGAGGCAGAAACTAATTAGTTGGAGGGCGTCGTGAAAAGCACCGGAGAGGGCGCCAAGCTGGGTCGGACGCCAAACCGGAAGAGGCAGACGACCAGAATCTCTTAACATATAAAGTTACATGTACCACAGTTTGCACGAGAACAAAATGCAAGCCATGTGCCCTACACCATGCCGCGGACTGACCGCCGCTGGCGCAACCTAGTCTTCCTCACTCTCCTACTATACCTCCTCTACAATTACTTTCCCTCACCACCTAAATGGGAAAACAATCGCTCTGCGAATCGCCCTGCGCCAACACGCGAGCAGACCACAAAGCCTGAGTTCTTATACCACTCGCACTTTCGACAAAATCCGGATGTCACCTTGGAGAATCAGTTGGAACAGGCGCTTCTTAACATCGAGAACCGCGCATTACTACCAGAGGCTAGGGGTACTGTAAAGAAAATCTGGCAAACTGGACCGGAAGATGCAGAGGAAAGGGAATATGATTGTAGGCGGTGGCAGGAGCAGAATTCGGGGTGGGAGTACAAAGTAAATCCCTCGCACAAGCAAGAAAAGGAGTTTCTGTCTGAATTAACCTCTTTCATAGTACCTTACTGATAGAGATGGCCTTGACTTCGTGCAATCCCTAAACAGTATACCTTCTTTGACCGAGATATACACCAACTATCCTGTCTCAATCCTCCGAGCCGACCTGCTCCGTTATTTACTTCTCTGGTATAATGGCGGCTTTTACGCTGACATTGACGTCCACCCTATTCAACCTATTGAGTTCTGTAATTCTCTAAATCCACTATTTACAGAACATTATCATAATATCTCTCTTGCAGTCAGCATTGAGATTGATGAACCTTACGCCTCTACAGCGATGAAAAAGCAGTGGCACTGGTCGCGAACATATGGTTTTATTCAGTATACTTTATACGCGCCTAGGCGGTTCAGTCCGTTCCTGAGAAGAGCTATCGTGAGGGTTATTGCACATTCAGTAAGGCATAATCGTGCTAGCTCTGGATTTTTCCATGGGCCACGGTACAGTGAGGAGGACATACTGGAGGTCACTGGGCCGGGGATGTTCACGGATGCGGTGCTAGATGTGCTTTCTGAATCATTACCCCAAGAGCATGACTTGATGAGCGCGTCTGTAAAAGCAGATGAGACTGCTGGAGAGATAAAGAGAGACGACCGCGCACGGGTGACTTGGGCCCCGTTTCATCATCTGAAGGAGCCTCTCTGGATCGATGGGAAAGCGGGTAGGGGTCAGAGCGCAGAAGGGGAAGGAGAAGCCGAAAGCGTAAGCGGACTTCTGGTGCTACCCATAAATGTCTGGGGCAATGGGCAACGGCATTCGGGGGCGGAAATGTTTGACAGTAAGGAGGCATGCGTCAACCATCGGTTCGGAAGGACGTGGAAGAAGGGATGGTGGGAGTACATTTTTGGTTAGGGATGTACAACAACAGCGTCAATGTGATGAGCCCACCCTATAGAACTCGCAGTACACCCTCCCGGAAAGCCAAGGGTATCTATTGGTTAAACACTGTCAGAACGATCAGGCTTCTTGCATTCTGACAATCCTGCTCCGCCATTTCCGACGTTGATTGGCAAATCCTCTTCGACATCTGTTCGGAGGCTGTAGAATGCACCAAATATTAGAGTTGTATTGAATTTGGCCTTATCACATATCCTTTTGCACCGCTTCCTGGACAATAACAGAGTCTGTCATTCGAGCCATCCTTAAAGCGTCATTGTGCATAGCTGTGGGATGAACGACCAACCTTGAAGTCCAAGCTCCAAGCTCTAAGCCTTTTGGCCCTCTATGAACGGCACAGCCCCCATGGATTTCATTGTTGGCTTTCTCAACCCCAGGGACCAATCTTTCCGCAGCAAGCCAGTTTATCCTTGATCCATCTTTCGGAAATTCACCTTGTTACTCCTCAAAGCTATATCATCTTTTGCCGGTTATATGATACCGGGATCACCTTGCGCAGACACTGCGGAGCCGGAGTCTTCCTATTGCGGATGTATCTAGATAGACTGGAGAATCAATGGGGAAGGTGTTGTATGCAGCGAACGAAAAACGAAAGGCTTCCTAAAGCTTTAGATAATTCTTATAACTGGTAAGTATGGTACTATTATTTTTTGTTAGTATAAAAGTGCTTTGTTTTGATTGGTATAAGTCACTAACTTATAATTTTGTATTTTATCGAGTACTCTTTTTGCTGATCTTTAATGATGTCGACTGGTGCCCTTACCAAGAGCGGAAATACTTCGGTTGAACTTTACACAGTCCAAACGTGTAGCTACATTTGCAGTGCTCCAGATCGTTCACCAAACCGGCTGCATCGGAGGAGTTCTGGTCTCTGTTGCTCTCCCGCGGTTGAGTACCAATGCAGCCAGCTCCTCTCCGGCTCGCGCAATGTATACGAGTTGCCTTCAGGGTTTCGAAGGCTCGGCCGCATTCGCCAGTACTGAGAACAGAATTCCATCGAGTTCCAGGAAAGAATCGACCCAGTCGTGCGATTCGACTGCACGCAGAAGCTCGATGTTACAGTCAGTATTCAGATACGAAAAAAGATCTGGACCAGAATGGAAAGGGAGAAAAGCTCAGCTCGTCGACCGACTTGCCTTCTAAATCTAAAGATGAATCTTCTGCTGCCCCTGCTCCACCTTCGTCCAAACGCCGAAGCGAGCTACCCTCGCACACCGAATCTCGTCGCACCGACCTCTCCAGGCGCGCTTCACATCTCATGGACAGCCTTCAAGCCAATATCTTCACCGCCTCACAACGACTGAACGACTTGACCGGCTATTCCGGCATCGAAGCACTCAAAAAATCCATTGAGAACCAAGAAGAACTCGTCTCCACAACCAGACAAGGTGTGAAAGCCGCTCGTGCGGCCTACACAACCGCCGTGGCTACAAGATCCGACACGCAGCGCGAAGTCAATGATCTGCTACAACGAAAACACAGCTGGAGTCCTTCGGATCTGGAGCGCTTCACCAGTCTCTATAGGAGTGATCATGCAAACGAACAGGCGGAGCAGCGAGCACATGATGAGCTGGTGCAACGTGAGAAGGCGGCCGAGGAGGCGAGTAATGCGCTGGCAAAATCAATATTGGCGCGGTATCATGAGGAGCAGATATGGAGTGATAAAATCCGGCAGATGAGTACCTGGGGGACGTGGGGGCTAATGGGTGTGAACATACTTTTATTCCTCATCTTTCAGGTGGCGATCGAGCCATGGAGGAGAAAGAGGCTGGTCAAGGGATTCGAGGAGAAGGTCATGGAGGCGCTTGAAAAAGAGAAAATAGATGTCACCTCTTCACCAGCATTAGCAGCCGCGTCCGGGGACAGAGTCAGCACAACGGATGCAGCACCAGCAGCACCAGCAGCACCAGCAGCAACAGGGCCAGATGTCCTCGCCGAGGTAGTGGACCAAGCCAAGCTGGCCGCAGCAATCAGTATGGTCGACGCCGTTGCACCTGCCGCATCAGGCAACTCATCAGCCATTGAGACGGCAATCGAAGTCATTGATGCCGCTGAAGCCATTGAGGCAGCCAAGAACGATAATGGCGACCCTGTTCCTATCGAAGATCTACTCCCTGTGCAAGCTGTGTTTGGTGAGCCCAGAACCGGGTTCGCTTACTACCAAGACGCCTTCCGAGAACTGTTCAGCGAGAAGAAGGTCATCATGACGCAGCGGGATGTTACGACGGCGGTGCTGGAGGGTGCGGCGGGAGGTGCGGCATTGATGGGCTTGCTGCTTGTGCTACTACGGCCACGGTAGACGTTGCGCATCAGGGAGACAAGGCTAGACTTTAGATATGTATATAGACGTTTAATGTATGATCATTTGTACACGACGATCTGGTAGTCATCGAAGCTCTTCTAGAACGTCTCTCCAACATCCCTCCATCCCTTCTACATGCCATCAACCCGCCCCCCTTCTTCGTCCTTCTTACCCAATAACTACACTCTCCTCGGTCGGGAATTCATAACCGGGCACCTCCAAATTCAACGGCGCCGGTCCCCTCCTCACCCTCCCACTGACATCGTAATGACTCCCATGGCAAGGACAAAACCAACCCCCGTAATCGCCCGCCTCGCCAATCGGCACGCAACCCAGGTGAGTGCAGACGCCCAGCATGATGAGCCACTCGGGTTTCTTGACACGCTCGTCGTCGGCCTGCGGGTCACGGAGGCTTTGGACGTTTACGGAGCGGGCGTCTTTGATCTCAGACTCGGTGCGGTGGCGGATGAAGACGGGCTTGCCGCGCCATTTGATGATCACCTGTACAGAAATTTAGTGTCATGAGGATCGAGAGGAGGGGTGTGATAAACTCACATTCTTGCCTTCGGGGATTGCGGCGAGGTCGACCTCGACTTTGGCTTGGGCGAGCACGTCCGCTGATGCTGACATGCTGACCAGGAAATCTGAGCAGACGGAGCCAATGTCAGTCAATGCGCCTCCGAGAACCCCACTCCTCATGACCAGGCTTCCGTTGTAGAGAAGCCTCTCCGAGCGCTTCTGGTAAAGCGCAGCGCTCACCTTGTACTGTTGCCTTTGCCCCTGCCGCAGCCAACAATCCCATCGATCCAACCATAAAGTACTGAAACACTCGGTTCGACGTCTCGGAATTCTTGCTCATATATTTCCCAAAGCTCGGTATCTTCGTCGTCGGTGAGTACTCCTCGCCCTTGAACGGACTGTTGAAGCTCGAGGTCGGACTGTATTCTGACACTGGTCGTCTATGTGGCACGGTGACAACGGCGGGAGCAATGCGAGAGAAAGGGAGAGGAAGAGAGTGTTTTGTCCAGCTGCGCAGAGCTGGACCGGCACCAGAAGCGAGAGGACGCATGTTTGCGCGTTGGAGAGGTGTCGTTGTGTGAGCGACTGAGAAGCTAGAGGTTGTTGTCGAAGTTCGGAATTCATAGAAGGGGAAGTAGCTTTCTCCGATTTTGGTCAACTTTACAGTAATTGGTTGGAACTCTTTATGTAGAACAGCCAGCTTCACATCATCACAACTTCGAATATCTTATTAAGCACGTATTTTGGTTTTATTCTGTCGAGTGATTTTTAATGCTACAGCCAGTACTGAGAACCATCAAAGAACAGCACGCTCTAAACTTCGCGGACTCTATCCACACTAAGAGCAGGTCTCTTTTGCGGCTCGGGCAAAATGCCGAATTGATGCTTGATGCCCCAACGCCAGAGCTAATCATACATCCGCTAGACAAACATATTCATCGTGAGATACCTCCGTCCTCCATCTCGACATCTCGCTGCATCAAAGGCGGCGGATGGCCATGCACCGACGTGTGCAACGTCCGATCAGCGACTGGGCTTCGATTCATCGGAAATGGCAGCTTCTGGCTGGACGAAACTCCATTGCTTTCCTCTCTTGACGATCTATCGGGATGAGGGTCGAGGTGTCCAATTGGTACTGCGCCCCCAAATCCGTTCTGCAGCGTTGTTTGGCCCGGTGCTACTGGAACCAGAGCAGCAGAGGCGGCCTCTTCTCTGGCCCTCTTCTCCTTGAATTGTTTGTACGTCGTTGTCTTTGGAATCACATCCGCAAGGAAGTCGAGGTTGTCAATGCGAGCAACAGCGTTGGCTTGCGCAGATCAGTGTACTGCCGTTAGTAGAATGCCCAGTAAAGACTCACCAAAGTCTTTGTATTGAATATTCCGCCGTGGTTTCCGTTCAGCCTTGACAACATTGTGGGCTTGCTCCGTCAAATATCTAATGAAGTTCTCCTATGGTTGATTGATCAGTCACACATTCGATGTGGAGAGGGAAGAGTTTTTACCGTAGCTACTGATATGGCAAAAGCAGCACTGTTAGAGCATTGGACGAGGTCTTCATCCATTGCAATGATCTTCTTCACTCTTGCAACTGATTGCCCTGATTAGCACTGTTCAACCGGAGCGGAGTGGAACATACGTGGCAAAGCAGACGTGCCAGTTATCTCGTCAGGCGGTGGAATAGCCGTGTTGTTGTAAGGCATATTGGAAGACAGGCAGTATAGTAAGAGAAAAAAGGGGCAGCAATGGTAAGGTAGAAAATCTGTTGAATCCTGTAAATGGGCTTTCACCTAGATGTGTACACCGGTATGGCCCTTTGAGCAGATTCTGCCGCGTTAGGGCGGCCAGCAACTTCCTCGTAATGGGAATGTCGAGCACCCAATCGGTGAGAGGTATATCGAGATATACGATGACAGGCAGTGGACATGCCAGTTGGTCCGGACACTGGAATTACCTGTAGTACGAGGCCCGTTTGTGTAAGCAGAATACACGGCGCGCAAGCCAGGAAAGAAGAAAGTAGCGTGCAGAAGTGAGAGTCTGAAGGGTGGTCGATGATGTCCCAAAACGGAAAGGCGTTGTTGGAACGACATTGGGGTCATGCTTAGGGAGCGGATTCAACATCCCAGGCTAGGTACGTCTAACTGACCTAACTTGCAGACCAGTATGAGAGACAACTCGATGTTATGAACTCGCGCTCGTCCTCCTACTCTGCGCATTCCCAGAGACAATCATCGCTGGTTCCTGAACGACGACTTCCCAGACGCAGGTCGACCCTCTCGTCAGTAGAACGAGGTCACCATGGAGCCTCGACAGACCCGGCGGTGCATTCGATCACCGAGGAGATTGCGGAGATCAAGCGATACGAGGACTTCACTACGATAGACTGGGTTCAAGACGATGCGAGAGAACAACTTCGTCGCAGAGCTCGGCGGAAAGAGAACGCAACTTTCTTTGCGCGCGAGGGCATCCTGGGTTGGCGGGGGAAACTGAGGGATTCTTATGAAGCTGGTCAGGCATGGATCGTGGTCACTATAGTCGGGGCTGTCATTGGCGTCAACGCAGCAGCTTTGAATATCATTACCGAATGGCTATCAGATGTCAAGTTGGGATACTGTACTACGGCTTTCTACCTGAACGAGCAATTCTGCTGCTGGGGTGCTGAGAATGGATGTGATGAGTGGAAGAGATGGACGTCTTTCGGGTTGGCAAACTACATAATATACTTTATCTTCTCGGTATGGATATCTGGTCTTCCTGAGCTGTCGAACAATAGTTGACACATCTGCAGGTACTATTTGCTCTTGTGTCTGCCTTTCTGGTCAAGCAGTACGCTCCGTACGCAGCCGGCTCAGGGATCTCAGAGATCAAGTGTATCATTGCTGGCTTTGTTATGCAGGGGTTTCTCGATTTTAAGACCTTTCTTATCAAGTCAATTTGTCTGCCATTGGCGATTGCTTCTGGTTTGTCAGTCGGCAAGGAAGGGCCAAGCGTGCACTATGCTGTGTGTGCTGGCAATGTCATCTCGCGATACTTTGACAAATACAGACGTAATGCAGCGAAGACTCGAGAGATCTTGACAGCGACTGCAGCCGCTGGTGTAGCCGTCGCCTTCGGGAGTCCAATTGGAGGAGTACTTTTCTCTCTCGAGGTTAGAAGCAGCCTTGCACTGCAGCTGAAGTACTAATATTCGGCAGGAAATGGCAACATACTTCCCGTTGAAGACCCTCTGGCGCAGCTACTTCTGTGCCTTGGTAGCTACGGCAGTGCTTGCTGCAATGAACCCTTTCCGCACAGGTCAGCTGGTCATGTTTCAAGTCAAATATGATCGAACCTGGCACTTCTTCGAGATAATTTTCTTTATACTAATCGGCATCTTTGGTGGTTTGTACGGCGCATTCGTCATCAAATGGAATCTTCGAGCGCAGGCGTTCCGGAAGATATACTTGACGAAATATGCCATTCCGGAGGCAGTCATCCTGGCCGGGGCCACTGCTCTCCTTTGTTATCCGAATATGTTCTTACGCATCGACATGACCGAAATGATGGAGATGTTGTTCCTAGAATGTGAAGGTGACCAGGACTATGACGGCATCTGTGAAGCCAAAAATCGCTGGTCCATGATCCTCTCACTCTTCATTGCTACCACCTTGCGCATCCTCCTCGTCATCGTCTCCTACGGCTGCAAAGTGCCAGCCGGCATCTTCGTCCCATCCATGGCCATCGGCGCGTCTTTTGGCCGTATGATCGGAATCCTAGTCCAAGCTCTCCATGAATCATTCCCAAACTCCCACTTCTTCTCCGCCTGCGAACCAGACGTCGCCTGCATCACTCCGGGAACGTACGCCTTCCTTGGCGCCGGCGCAGCCCTCAGTGGCATCATGCACATCACCATCTCGGTCACGGTGATCATGTTTGAGCTCACAGGAGCATTAACCTACATTCTACCCACCATGATCGTGGTCGGTGTCACCAAAGCCGTAGGCGACCGCTTCGGCAAAGGGGGCATCGCCGACCGCATGATCTGGTTCAACGGCTTCCCCTTCCTTGACAACAAAGAAGAACACAGCTTCGGCGTGCCAGTCTCCCAAGTCATGACCTCCGACGACATGAGCGTACTTCCCTCCACCAACTTCCCCGTCAGCGCCGCTGAAGACATCCTCAACTCAACCCCTTATTCCGGCTTCCCCATCATCGAAGACAGGGAATCCAAAATCCTCCTTGGCTATATCGGCCGCACAGAACTCCGCTTTGCCATTGACAGAGCCAGAAAGCAAGGTCTCATGTCCCCTGTCGCGAAATGCTCTTTCGCTCCCTCCTCCTCTTCGCAACTGGGAACTTCAGCCACCCCCGCTACACCAATAATCAGCAGCAGCCCTGCGCCCCTCACCTTCGACGACATAGCCACCTCCTCCGGCCAGCAAACTGTCGACTTCAGTCCCTTCGTCGACGCCACCCCCATCACCGTGCACCCGCGCCTCCCGCTCGAGACGGAGATGGAGCTCTTTAAGAAGATGGGACCGAGGGTCATCCTGGTGGAGCATAGGGGTAGGCTGGTCGGTTTGGTGACGGTCAAGGATTGTTTGAAGTTTCAGTTTAAGGTCGAGGCGCAGGAAACCAATGGGCATGGAGTTGGTGTGGGGCATGAAGAGGGAAATGGAGGGAGGCAGCAGGAGATGCTTTGGAAGGGAATGGCCAGGGTGGGGGAGTGGATGGCTGATAAGATCTCGGCTTTAACTTCCGGGCGGTTGAGATTGCCGCCCAGGAGAGCAGGGGGGTCGGCTTCGGCTTCGACAGTGGCAGGGGATGGGTGGCTTGGCGGTAGAGGCGAAGAGAGGTCGTCCCTACCAGTAGATGATAACAGGCATGATGGAGATATTTTGGATGGGACAGAGGATATAGATGCAGGCGTTGAGCTCGAGAGTAGATAGCTTGCTTTTCGCAGAATGTAAGAAATATCACCAATTCTCTAGCCACCATCCATTGATGAAATCCAAGCTCGTAACATGGGATGGGTTATAGATTTCTGCGACAACTCTTACGCCGTTCCTGAAAACACACCACCAGTAGCCTGTTGATGTAAGACTTCTCTAGGTCCATTTGTCATCTCATAACCATAGCACCCATAGCTAACTTTGCTGGCATGTCCACAAACTCGAGCTTAGCTACAACTTCTCCCTTTCAATATTGGGAGATGAAACACACCGGTCTAGAGAGGAGGCTGCCTCGGGCGCAGCGCGGTGAATAGAATCGCAGTGTCATGTTGCGTGGAAAAACGTCTCGGCGGGAGCCACGGAGTTGGGGCCATCTCGCCGTATTCAAGTTTGGTGGGAACTTTGTCCAGCTGAATTAGAGCCATATCATTCATTCTACTTGTCCCCTTGAACGAGTTACTTTGCTGCTTTGAGGCACTTGGAAATCGATGAAAGTGCTGTGGATCCATGGGAACTAAGAACTGCGGGACCTGGTGTTGCCGAACTTTGTTTGAGAGCGAAGCAGCGTGATGCTTTTATTGCGACAGCATGAGTTGGGACGGATAGAGCATGACCTGAACCTTGCTGAATGGGTGATGGAGGGGTAGTTAAGGGACGGACAAGACGTAGGTTGGCAGGTTTGGAGTCGTCTGTAGAGAAAACAGGAGTCTTGGTTGCGGGAGGGGGGAGGTGTCGTTGTACCTTGTGCCTGCTGCCTCCAGGCTTTAAATTTGGATCCACAATGAAAAGGATTCTCTTTCTCCCTCCATTAGGCAGCAAGACTGTAGAGCCTATCGGTCGTTCTATACTCGAATCATCCTCTGGGACGATTGGATGATATGAGAGCGTAGTTGTGATTATTTGGCTTTTCGGCTGTTCCTCAGGCTACTGGTCTTTCCTTGCTTGCTACTACCCATGGACTCCGCCGATGGCGATGCCTGATTTGCGGCATCCTTTTCTCTCTTTGCCAGCGCTCTTCTTACTGCACTTTCTTTTTCAGTTTGCTCAATCTGCTTTTCGCTGAATTCCCACAGCTTCTTAGCGATCTCGATATCTGTTACCTCGGAGCGTAAGAAGTCACGTTCGCGACACTCCTTGATCAGCTTTCCACCGGCATCTCGAGCGAGCTCTCCCTCCATCGCAGCTAGCAGAAAGCTCTGTGCGCCCTGCTCGGGGGACTTCAGCACAAGCCACCAGAATGGCCAGGTAATGAGATATGCGAGTAAACCCCATAATGAGCCGCCGGTGAGCCACCTCCTGGTCCCCGGAGTACGCGATTGTCCCGGATCCACAAGAAAAGCTCTGGCATTGTTCGGTTGCTTATCAGGACGAGTGTAGCTGTCCAAATGTTTCTGAAAAGCCAGTGCAAAAGTCATCAATGCTATTTTACTCCTGCCGTAGGACCTCTGGCCGGAAGACGTCTCCTTCTGGGTGCCTGTTAGGTCAAGGCTCGCTCCGATGTAGCTATTGCAGGTACTGAATAAAATGCGGACATCTCTATCTGGCGGCTGAGCCCTGATGGCGGGGCTGAGAATGCTCAACAAGTGGAAGTTGGCCAGATAGTTGACTCCCCATTCCTCTTCCAGCCCGTCAGCAGTAAGTTGGCGACTTCCCCATCTTGGAGTCATGACCGCAGCACAGAGGACTATCATGTCCAGCCGCCTCGGAGGAGCATTGTCTATCCATTTGGTTGCGAAACGACGGATGGAGTGTAACGAAGAGAGATCCACCTGCTCAGCATACACAAGTTCATTGTTCGTAGAGCTACGAAGATCATCAATGTAATCCACCAGGAATGGGTCATTCGCGGCATGACGAGACAGTAGAATAATCTGAGCTCCTCGTAAGGCGAGGTCCCGAACAACAGCGGCGCCTATGCCGGATGTACCACCCTATATGCGGCGGTCAACTCAAGACAGGCTTCGGAACAATCAATAGAGGGGTGTCTTGAAAGCTTACAGTGATGATGACCACCTTGCCATGCATAACACGCTCGGCCGTGTTCCTGGCTCCTCCAAAGTAGTATTTGAGGAGGGAGATGACCAGCGCCCATGATGAAAATTTCAGCACTGTGTAGCCATAAGGAATGCTAGACAGTCCCCTCCAGAGGCTCTCGGCCAACAGTGGAAGTGGCATACTCTAGAGGTCCCGAAAACGTCTTCTCCCATTTCAGAAAAGCTGTGCCTGGCACATTACTACGTAGCTTTTCGAGACTACGCTGAAATCGGCTAATTCAAACTTAGTGCTGTAAGGCTGGCTAGTGGCGCAGATCTCCCGCAGTGGCTGCCAGCTTCAAGTGTGTTTCCACTTTCCATATTACTCTTCTCTAATCGGGCTTCTAGGAGTCTTCTCTACCCAAAGCAATGTCCCAAGAAGAGGACGAGTATTTCCTCCCACTGCAAGACCAACAGGTATTCGGAGCCGGTATCAGACGAAAGCGAGTCGCGTTCGTGCGTGCTGAGTCTGAGCCATCACCTGCATCACAGGCAACTCCCGAGTCCAGTGTCGCGGACAGGTATCTAGCTATTGTCCAACCACCGAATCCAGATACAGAAAACCCACAAAAGCAGTCAGACGACGTTCAAGAAGATAGCACAGCCTCTGGGGAGGTCATGTGCACAGTTTGCAATCTGCCCATCACCCCATCAACATCAAGCGTTCCCACCCAACCTCACGAATCATCATTAGCGCACCAAGTCTGCCTATCCCACTCTCACCCGCCTTCTCATCTCGACCGCGATCACGTGGGACTGAAGTACCTTTCTTCGTATGGCTGGGATCCGGATGCTCGCCTCGGACTAGGTGCAAGTGGGACTGGGATCCGGGCTCCCGTCAAAAGCAAGGTTAAGAATGACACTGTCGGATTAGGTGTCAAAGACAGTGATCACGTCCGGGTCAAAAAGCAGGCCAAAAATATGGTGCGATTGAACGCGAAGCAGATGAGGCTGCGAGAAGCTGCAGAAAAGAAGAGGGAGTTGCAGTTGAGGGATGCGTTTTATGGAAAAGACCTGGAGGCTTACCTTGGGCCAGGTGGATGATAGGGAGAAGCATTGGGATATGTCCATCTATTTTGCATAATATATGGTGAAACCCGTTCAGAGGTATAACGCCAACTCCGCTGCCTCCATCACAATCCACCATACTAAGAACGACTGGACCCTGACCATCCCTCGCTAATATGCCGCATGCCGTATGCCGTATGCCAACCCGGAGCTCTACCCGAATACCAAATCAGCCCGCTGAATAATGCTGAGAACTAATCACAATATACACAGTTTCTTCATTTGAAGAAGTGATGCTTCTTTTTCTTCTTTTCTCCCTCGTCCTTGTTCTTCTTCAGCTTGCCTGCTTGTCCAGTCGCAGGAGAGCTTGGTAATGAAGGACTGAAAGATCCGATGGGTCTGGCTCCATTTTCAGGCTTCGAATTGAGGCTCATGTTATGCATTGCGGCGGTGGGGGGCATTGTGTTCGGATGCGGCTGCCAGGCCTGCTTAGGCTTTTGCTGCTGGGGCAAACCTGGAGCTTGCTGGCGCTCGAAAAGATGAGCAGGTGCTTTGGGTGGAGGCCTTTCTGCAGGTATATCCAAACGTCGCTTGTCCAGGTTCAGTCCGCGAAGCTGGTGAAGGAAGAGCTTGGGTGTTAGCATGTGAGATGTTATCAAGAAAACATCTTTGGAAGCATTTTGCGAGACTTGGTAGCACGCTCGAGCCTCTGCGTAAGTGGCGCCACCAGCCATGAACACTAATAACCTTTGCCGCTGTTCATTTGCTACTGGACGTGTGCGGGCCCAGGTTGGCTTATTGGCCGTTCGGAGAGAAGTTTGTTGTGCCGCCATATCGATGCCAATTCCGTTGCCTTCAAGGTGCGGTTTGGTGGGAGGAAATATGAGGGGGTCTAGGGTTCCCTGAATCTGCTCCTCGAGCATTGAACGCAGAGCTGGCTCGTACCGGGAAAGGCTCACTTCTTCCTCGAGAGGGCCGGCCGGGGGCTTTGTGGGAAATATCGGGTCTGGACGGGATGACATATCTTTCAGAGGCTTTCGCACTCTGGCTCCAAGGAGATCAAGATTGTCGATAATGTCACGGTCTTGAGGTTGTAACTGGGCGTGTGCGTGAAGCTTTTGAATGTCACCGTTAAGAAGACCACCTCTGTAGAGAATGTACAGGATCAAAAGCCGTAATCGTGCCTCTTGAGGTACGCTCTCGTCATCCATCAGCCTCACAATCTGGTCAGCAAGGTTCTTGGGCTTCTTATAATCCTCGTCGAGACCAGTTGCGAGCGACTTCGACTGTTAGCTTATTCGCATCTGTCCGTCTGAGACACCTACCTGTTCAACGGAACCTAAGTCCAATAGCTTGTTCTCTTGGAAGATTTTCATGCATTTCTCCGCCATATCTAGATGCAATGAGAACGCTTCTTTCTTTTCGGAGAACTTTGGCAAGCCGGCAAGCATATCCTTGATCGTGTTCACACTTGTAGAGGCGCCATCACTTCCAAGTACAGTAGGTCAGCCAATGTTAGGATGGTATGGTGACGAAACATACTTTTCTGCGAATTGTGGGTGGGCTTCTCGAAACTTCTTGAAATCATCTACAATCTTGCCCAGCAGATCTTTCATGTGCATATGTCGATTAGCGGTCCAGATCTTGTCTGCCTCTCCAATTTCGACCTCTTTCGTCTCCTCATTGGGCCGACCTTGATTAACCGTATTCAGGTATGTGAGCTTGTCCCCATCTTTGATATCAAGCAGATCCAACGCCATAGCTTGGTAAGTGAACTCATGTACGAGAGGGGACAGGAGATCCATGGTACGGTCTGTAATTAGAAGGATAGCTCGTGGCTTTGGAGTCGAGGTTGGCGGGGGAAAGTCTGGGTGCAGCCTCGCATGGCTGTCCAAGGCTTCCTGAATAAACCGTGCTAGATGAGAGCAGAGTACTCCTGCTTCATGTGTAGGAGCCCGTGGCCGATAATATCTAACTGCAGGATATTCTCCAAGGGAAACACAAATCGAGACAACCTAACCAAGTCAGTCAATTCGGCCTTGCGATTTTGGGGTTTTTCACACCTTCTGCGCCAGGGCCTCAAGATGGCCACGTACGAGGTTGCTGCAATCAGGGTGGAAAAGGACGAAGAAGCTTGAAGGGTCTCGAAAGGTGACAAGTTGGGCCTCCCTTGGGTAGTAATCTACATAAAGAGTCTTGTAATCGGCGATTTGCTCGCGAGCTGTCGGCAAGCACTCGATCCGTTTCCTGAGGTTGTGGTCAAGCTCTATGAAATCAGTATTGTCTCATGTGCAGCGTCTGGTAGCCCGTACCCGATGTCCAGACCAGAAACAATCTTCGATATCTTCGCTTTTCCATGTCTGCTAGAAGACAGTCGACAATATGTGGTTGCGGTGTCAGCACATAGACCGCGTCCATGTCGGGATTCAAGTCTCTTGGCTCTTCGATTTGTTCAATATCTTCTTGCGATTAGCTGGCTCTTGCAGGTCCCTTTGGGTAGTAGACCTCACTTGTGACATTGCCATGAAGAATGTCATCTTCTCGTAACACATTATCGATGAGCCCTCGACTCTGTTTGTCCACAACGAGGACTTTGAACTGCGTAAAACGATATCAGTCAATGAACATGCCCTGCACTGATGGAGGGCAGCCTACTTCTTGACCAGCTGCTTCAATGATACTTCTTTGCAGGACTTTAACAGGTGTAAGCAAGGGAGCTTTTGGAAGAAAGAAGTTCGGCACCTTTGCGCTGTAGTTCGATCATCGACGTCCCCATTTCGTAAGAGTCCTTGGGGAAGTGAGTCGCATCAGGAAGTCGCCAGAGCTTAGCCCACAGACTTGAAACTCAGATGTAATTCAACGATCATAGTAAATGCGACACATCCTTTCTCTCTTAATGCTATCTGGTCAATGACTGCAGCAAGTCGACTGGAAGAGGTGCTGGCTGATCTGACTGCAAGTCATTGTTCTGCGGAGGGAACATTGGTTCCCCGCGGGTACGCCCGTGTTTGTGGCGCATGAGTTTCCTACATACAGAATTGCCCATTCTTTGGTGACATCGTCACTCCAAAAATTGGGTATTTCTGTCGCGGCTCCGTCTTGCCTATCGACACACTACATCTAGCCCACCATAAAGGTGTTGCTTTATCCTCCATCGTTCTTTACAGATCTTAAAGGTGTAATGCAAGCATGGCCAGGCCAAAATGGTCCATGCTTCCTCTGCTCCCTGCGATATTTCGCCCGTTGGACACTCAGGTCATCCAACCAGCGTGGCTTCGCGACGTCGTCGGAAAACTCACGGAATCGAGTACACGAAAGAATTTCGAAAGGTCGATGGAAGGATTCAATTCTATCAACATTGGAAGGCGGGCCTCGAGAAGCTAATGGCAATACTCGAAATGGTCGAGATCGACAGCTACAATCCTCTGGTGAAGCAATTCGCAGAACGAAATCTGGCGGCCTCGTGCTTCGTATGGAGGGAAGTGGCAAACCCGCTGCCGAGTTAGAACTTCAGAGCCTGAAGCAAACTCTTCGAGACGGAAAAACGCCAGACGGCGTTGAGTCTGGGTATGCGGAGTTGGACCCGGAGCTCAAATACTTCGACAGCTTCGAAGCGAAAGTCACGAAATGCTTTGAGAAGCAAGATAGAATGAACGGAAATTTAGACATCACAAACCCCTTAAGAGTCTCTCTGTTGCAGGCATTCGTACGAGGCGGACGCGCCGAGCTGAGAAAAGCACTTCTTTTTGCTTACGTCGATCACATCCTTCAATCTGGGGAGAAGCGAAGCGGAAGTTCATCGACTCCAAAGCATCTGGACTTGAGGTATCCAACCGAATGGTATCTCCATGCCAGGGCAATACAAAGGGAAATACATCTACATGTTGGCCCAACAAACTCTGGCAAGACGTATCATGCCTTGAAACGATTGGAAGAGTCAGGTAATGGCATTTACGCAGGGCCTTTGAGGCTCCTCGCGCATGAAGTTTACAGCCGCTTCAAGAACAAAGGGACGCCCTGCGATCTTGTTACGGGTGATGACGTACGACTGGCAGAAGGAGGAGGCGCCTTGCTTTCCAGCCATACGGTTGAAATGGTTGATTGTGGAAAGTCTGTTGACGTTGCTGTTATCGATGAAATCCAGATGCTTGCGAACAAGGATCGCGGCTGGGCCTGGACTCGTGCTCTCCTAGGAACAAAAGCGAAGGAGCTTCATCTCTGTGGCGAGACAAGAGTGGTACCCCTGATCCGAGAATTGGCTGCCTCTATGGGCGATACATTGCATATCCATCATTATGACCGACTAAATCCGTTGAAGGCAATGAGCAAGAGTCTTAAGGGAAACCTAAAAAGTCTTCGTCGTGGTGATTGTATTGTATGCTTTTCCGTGCTAGGAATTCATGCTATGAAGAAGCAAATCGAACTTGACACTGGTCGGAGAGTTGCAATTGTGTATGGCAGCTTGCCGCCAGAGATTCGGGCACAGCAAGCTGCCTTGTTCAATGACCCTAGCAACGACTATGATTTCCTGGTTGCGAGCGACGCCATTGGCATGGGTCTGAATCTGTAAGTATTTTGCACAACATGATCATATACTGGTAGTCTGATTGACCGGGTTCTAGGAGCATAAAGCGCATCATCTTCGAAACCATCTTGAAAATGGATGGTGAGAAACGAGTGAAGCTATCTATTTCACAGATCAAGCAAATTGCCGGTAGAGCAGGCCGCTATCGCACTGCCAATCAAGATGACCAAGAAGATGGTGCAGAGACGAAGATCATTGACTCTCAGGATTCACGAGTCACGTCTTTCAAAGGCAGTGTCAAGCAAAGCAACGTGGGCCTTGTTACCTGTCTCGACGAGAGAGATTTATTTGACATACAAACAGCGCTCAACACCGAGCCTGATCCTATCAAAGCAGCCGGAATCCAGCCACCTCTTGAACACATAAATTCATTTGCCAAAGTTCTACCACCAGGCACCCCATTCGAGTACATCATACAACGCCTAGACAGTGAGGTCATGCTTCATTCGCGGTATTTCCTGTGTAAATTAGGGGATCGGAGGAGAATTGCAACTCTTCTTGACAAAGTCAGAGGACTCACCGTTGTGCAGAGCTGTGTTTTCACTGCGGCTCCGGTAGACACAAAGTCAGAGCTTGGAAAGAAGGTTATCAAGGCTCTGGCTCGCTGCGTGGCGAATCGGACTGCAGTGACTGTGGTCGATATCACGGAGATCCCATTGGATATTCTCGACTTGCCTCTCTCAGGGCGCCGGGAGTATCTAGTCAACCTCGAGCTACTCCACAAATCCTTGATACTCTTTCTTTGGTTATCCTATCGCTTTACCAACATCTTCCTCGATAGGGAGATGGCAACTCGGGCAAAGGAGATGGTGGAGGAGAAAATCAATACGGCTCTACTCGAGTTTTCTGCAAATCCAAAACTCAGGAGTAAGGTGCTCCAGATGAGGCATGCCAAGCCTGACGAGGAAGTTTCTGGTGACTCTCCTGACGGTTCCCAAGAAGAGACATCGGAAGGGATGATGTCAGGCCCAGTGGAAGAAGATCTGACGAAAAGCTTTAGCGAGCTGTCTGCGCTACCGGTGAACTGGGAGAATCCAACACCGAGCGATGAATGGGATCCAAATGCCGAAAGGTTAGCCATCGAGCAGCCCGCGGCGGCTCAACCATGATTCCACGACTACCGCTCCCCTCGCGGAAAAGCGCCGAAAGGGCTTATTCAAATAATATGTATTTTCCCATGACCTCGGATGTCTAGCCACATGTCTCAGCAAAGCTCCTTACCATCACCACAATCTGTGAGTCCCTCAACCACATAATCTTTAAGAACAGTCAGTTTTGCCTTGCCTCGTTTGGCGCTGTCATCACGTACCATATAGCTAGTTGCCTGGAAGCTGTCCGTCGAGCAGAAACTGATATGCTCACCCTAGGGCGCCTGCCACTCGGCTCAATGCTGGTTCCAGCCGTGGTATAATGGAGGTCTCTGGACTATCTCCGCGCGACACTCATCCCATTCCGGCTTCTGGGATTGTAAAACTATACTGTACAGTAGAGAAGAAGCAGCCTCCTTGCTCTGCATCAACAGAGCAGGTTTTGGAGGCCACATTATACATACCTCCTCCGTGGTTATTGCAGCTGCTGTTACTCAAGTGATCATTTTCTGTAGCAAATCCCTGACAAATATCGGGGGACCTCAGAGTGGAAGATGGATAGCGCCCTATGTCTCTTCTCATTAATGAACCTCGCTGGTCACAACGCTCTAGTCTGCTCTGCTCTGCTCCGCTTCACTTCACTGTACTCTGTTTCTTCTCCAGTATGTTATCTAGTGATCTACGGAGTACTCTCATGCTCTCCTCTCTACCCTCATCCGCAGCTACAGGTCAGCTTGGACCCTGCCAAGACCTGGAGAAAGAGCTTCAATTAAGTTACAGTGAATGGAAGCACTCTTACAGTACATATATGCTAGGTTACAAGCATTCATCGAATTGCCTTTGTAACGGAAAGCTGGCAGTGAATTCGTCTCTGCGGCTCAGCCTTTCAACGTTGGGAGATGACTTGCACTAGATAAATCTCGCACTTTGAAACCCTCTCATCATGGCCTCAGAATTCATTGGCTACACCATCGTTGTCACCTTGAAGTCCCCACCTCCTACAAAACAGCTACAGGGCATAGTGGCTGATGTTGTCGAGCAACAGCTAGTTCTCGAGAACGGTATGGAAGTGCCTTGCTGTGATGCAATGGCTGACGTGGGCAGTCACTCTTTTGTGGAACGGCCAACACCTCCCTTTGCACCGCATTGATTCTTCAGTCATTGCGGACCTGGAAGTTGTAGCACAGCAGCAAAATGCTTTTGCAGGCTCGGAGAATATCCATCCTGCACACCAGCGAACACAGGACTCTGAAGCGCCTGATGTATCTGCTCCGGAACCCTTTATCGATCCTGCCATCTTGAGCTTCACCAAACCTCCAATTGATACTCGCACAATCTCTGCAGACAGTCACCCATCTCAACATCTCCAACCAGACATCATTTCTCCTGTGATGATTGCGGATAGCATCAAACAAAGCCCTGTCAGCGTGGTTCACCATGAAAACAGTTTCGTGTCTACAAGAACTACGCTATCGGGTTCTGCGGCTTGGGTGCCAGCAGCCAAGTCGCCGAGGCGAAGCGAAAGGAGAGACTCTACCGCAACGGCGACGCTGACCAAACCCTTCGATCACATGGCTCTGAAGGAAGAGGATCCTGATTTGGCTGGCCCCTCAGCAAAAGGGATTTCTTCCCTGCGGGGAACTGCAAGGAAGAACAGGCGCGGAGTAACCCGGAAAGCAAAGGATCATATTTCTGAAAGTACAGCAGGTCTGAATGACGCCAGCCACGCGGAGAGTCCACAGACAGCGCTGAAGAAAGCTGCTGGGAAGAGCAAAGGTTGGCGGCAGACACCACTTGTCGAGGAAGCAACAACACTCCAAGCTGAGCCTAAGACAAGGCGTCCGAAACACCAATCTCGAAAGTCCTATCTGGAAGACACCAATGGCTGGGCCACGGAGGATGCAACTGACATTCAAGACCTGGGAGAATTTGACTTCGAGCATAATCTATCCAAGTTCGATAAGCGTCAGGTTTTTGACGACATACGCAGAGACGACACCACCGCGGACGGCGACCGCCTGTTCAGCTATAATCGCGTAGTCAGACCAGGCACAAATGGGGGACGCAATCTTCATCATACGGAAAACGTGCTGGACCTACCAACTCCAAAAGCCAACACCTGGAAAAGCGAGGCCGGCGAGACAGAAGACGAGTTACTTGAAGAACATTATAGCAGTGGTCGAGCTTCGCGGAGAGATGGCTCTCGACGGCCACCACCATCAGGAAAAAGCACATTGATTCCCAGCAAGGCTTCTGCAACAGCCTCACCTCTTGATGGCTCCGCCTCATCTTTTCGGGCTTCTCTTCGACTAGCCTCTACCAACAAGCCTTGTACCCACATCCCTCCCCTCCAAATGCTAGAGATAGAGCAACTGTGTACCTCCGAGCTTGGTCTAGGTGATGAGCTCCTCACTGAAAATGCTGGCCGCGGTATTGCTGAAGCAGCCCTCACCCTACCACCACACCTGCCTCCCAGTCCAACAATTCTCTTCTTAGTGGGAAACCACAAATCCGGGTCCCGCGCCGTAGCAGCAGCTCGACACCTCCGCAACCGCAACATCCGAGTCACCATCTGCGTTCTGGGCGGTGAGCGTGAAAACATGTTCCTGGAGAGCGTAAAAAGACAACTAGACGTCTACCGCAAAAGTGGCGGTTGGACAGTTCGATGGGATGAATTCCAATCCAAACTCTCGTCAGAAACATCTCCACATGATTTGATAGTCGATGCTCTGCTAGGCATGCACGTCACCTTCTCCGAACTCCGCACCGACGACCAAGCCATCGCATTCGAGATGATTCGCTGGGCCAATCGATCAGCCGCTCCTATTCTTTCGGTCGATATACCTTCCGGTATGAACGCCTCAAACGGGGAAGTCACCGTCGTAGATTCCTCCCCACTGATAATTCACGCTACCTTCATCGCGTGCCTGGGCGCACCCAAGAGTGGTCTCGTTGCCGCATTGGGGACGGGTGAGGGACGCAGCCATGATTGGAAGCTTAGCGTTGTAGATATTGGGATCAGTAATGTGGCATGGAAGAAATATGGGACGAGGAGGAGGCATGGGGTCGATTTCGGGAGGGAGTGGGTCGTCAATCTGAAGTTTGTTGCTGCTGGTGGTGGTGGTGGTGGTGGTGGTGGTGGTGGTGGTGCAGCTGCTCCCACTACCATCGGAGCAGGTGTTGGTGAATTTGATGGGGCTTGACAAAGGAATCCAAGTCGGTAAAACGGAGTTGGTGGCAATGAGCTTTTGCTTCGACACACATATGATACTATGCTTATCTTATTCCATCTGCAGCGTTTGAGCGAGCAAGCACAGTCCGGGATGGGAATGGGGAGGGAAGGATCCGGAGCAGCGAAGGCAAAAATACTCGCCACATCAACTGATTGTATCAACACATCCGCGGCGTTTCAATTAAGCTACTATCCAGATACACACTACTACTACTACTACTACTACTACTACTACTACTACTACTACTACTACTACTACTACTACTACTACTACTACTACTACTACTACTACTACTACTACTACTACTACTACTACTACTACTACTACTACTACTACTACTACTACTACTACTACTACTACTACTACTACTACTACTACTACGAAAATGCAGATATACATCTTATCCGAGGACTAATTAACACGTCGATCACACCACAGCCAGAAAAACCATATCCAAGCTGTAGATGAGAAAAACAAGACGTCGATGATAGTAACGATAGATGATGCGTAAGAGAGAGTCGTAGACCTTTCATTTCCCATCGAAGTTTCGGAGATCGCCTGCTGCTCAGTATATACAAGTTGCCCGTACGTTAGCACAAGCTTTATGGACTGGCCGTTTATATCCGTGTAATGGATAGGATACAAAGTTCAACATCTAATATCATCTGAACGTGACGACCAGTGAATGGTATACACATGGACCGTTTCCACACCGCGCCGGAGGCGTCGAGATGCAAGTCCGACACCGGTCCAACACGTACGCTAGGCAAACTCCTGCATGAGCCTCTCGGCCTCATCGTCGTCGTCATACTCTTCCTCCCGCCCCTCCACAGATCCCTTCTCATACTCGCTCGCCGAAAGGCCTTGAACCCTCTCGCCCTTCTTTCCCTGTACATGCGAAATGCTGACCAGTTGATCATAGAAGGTGACGACCTTGGGATGCACCATCACCTTCTTAGCATCGAACCTCGTCACCTGCAGGCCCTGCTGCGTGGTAGCCCGGCTCAACGCCACGTACGCCTGGCCCTTCTCAAACACCCTTCCCAGATCCACCTTGACCCGCTCCAGCGTCTGTCCCTGCGCCTTGTGGATCGACAGCGCCCAAGCGAGAATGAGCGGGATCTGCTGGCGTTTGGCCTGGATCTCGCCATTGGGTAGTTCGGATTTCCATTCTTCCGGCTGCACGATGATTTCGCGGAAGCTGCCGTCCGATAGTTGAAAACACACGACGGGAAACAGTTTCCCGCGGCCTGAAGTTCCGTTCTTGTAGACGGCAGCGTGGATCTTCTCGCGCATCTTGCGGAATTGGGCGTCATCTGGCGATCGGCCGTCGCGGTAGGCAGCGTCAAATTCTTCGGCGTGCTCTTTGGAGTAGGCGAACATTTCGAGGTCAGAGAAGCGGACAACTTTGCCGAGAGAGCCGTTGACGAGATTTTGGTCGAAATTCTTGATCAGCATTACTTGCGCGCCCTTTTTCAACTGGAGTTCTTTGGGCGCCATGAAGTATTTCAAGATTCTTTCGCGCACAGCGAGGTCCATCACACCGCTATCTTCGGCGGTGTAGGTCATGGTTTCGCCGGACAGCATTTTCATCTTGTTGTTGTTTGCGTAATCGACTTCGGCACGCGTGGGGAATCTGCACAAACATCAGCTTCATCGCAGTAAGCTTTTTACAAAGCGAAGCCTTACAGTTCGGTAGCCTCGAGATTGTCGGTGAAGTTGAGAGGCCGTGAGAGACTCTGGAACGCTCTGATCGATGCTGGCGTTAAGCGTCCCAGTCTCATCTGGTTGAGCATTTCGGCAAATGTAGCGTCCTTCTGACGAAAGACATGTGTTAGGAGAATGGTGTGCTCAATGCAGGTATTCCATGTTGCAGCATCGAAAGAAAACTTTGCCGCACGGTCTTTTTCGGGCACCGGGGGCAGTTGAAAGAAATCTCCCGTGACAACAAGCTGAATTCCACCAAACGGCGAACCATTGTTCCGTATTATACGAGCCACTTGTTCCAGCTTGTCAAACAGATCACCGTCGATCATGGAGACTTCATCAATGATTAGTACCTTCGTCCGTATCCATCTTTGTCTTGTTTTCGGTGTTCTCCGAATCTTCTTCAGCAACTCCGTGGCTGGCTCTTTCCCTAGGCCAATACCAGCGAAGCTATGTAGGGTAGTCCCGTCGATATTGACAGCAGCGAGTCCCGTGGAGGCTGTTACCGCCAGTCGATCGGGCTCCTTGTTGTATTTATTTCGCAGTTTGTTGATGATTGATCTCATCAAGACTGATTTACCTGTGCCTGCTGAGCCCGTAAAGAAAATGCTCTTTCCTTCATCCACCACAGCAGTCAAGATAGCCTTTTGTTCCTCACTCAAGAAAATCTTGGGCAAAGCAGTAACAGCTGCGGGCTTCTCATCCGGCATATCGCCCTGCTTCGAAGTTGTAGCACGAGAGTTGTTGATCTTGCGCAATTCTCTCTGCTCCGCTTTCATAGCCGAAGCCGTCTTGTTCCAGGGATATGGTGAGCCATCAGGTTTCTTTGAGGGAAAGGGAGCGAGCGACTTGTCGTTTCCCTGCTTGTCGAGCCAGGGCACAGTCCTTCGCTTGCTCGGTGGGTGGGGATGGTGATGCTCAGGTGGCGATGATGACCAGGGAACTGGAGCACTGCTCGACGGTGGGCGATTCGTGTCTGTCGGTTGCGAAGGTAAAGACGGGTAGATTATCTCGGGGCTCACTTTAGGGAGGGTTGGATATGTAACCGCTGGGCCATTGACGGTAAGGTCAATTGCAGCATCGTCGTCAAAGTCGTTCTCATTCAAGAACTGGGTCGAGCCATGCAAAGCTCCGAGGCTGCCAGTATTGCTGATGGTTCTTTCGAATTTTCGCTTGGTTGTTCCCGAAGGCTTCTGCAAGTTGGGAGGAGAGGGTCTTGTTTGGAGAGGTTGCTGCTGCTTCTTCCCAGCTGCTGGTGGGGCATTTATTCCAGAGTACGAGTACTGCTGCACAGCTTTGCTGAACATATTGCAGGATTGGGTCGCGGAGGAAGATATTAACCAAGCATTGGTACTCGAAACATAGGCAATGCGCCTGAGGACGAGCATACAATGAGCTGGTTGAGACGTTGTGTTGCAAGGCCGTTCTGTATATTATGATTACCCCTACTAGTACTTACGCGATTTTCCGTCGGGCAGGCACGTGTCGTTTGCACAACTTGGTCCAGCTAATGATTTTAGTTTCAATTTCAATGTCCGCTGCAGTGGGACTAAGACAGACCTTGGCACGCTTAATCTTGACACTCGTACTAGTACCAAGTAGGTTAGGCTCTAGTCTCTGGACGCTTGACTCTGCAGGCGACTTCCTGGAGTACCTCGGTCTCATATTCTTAGATATTGACCAATGACCAATGCAGCTGAATCTTGAACCGGTAGATTGCTATTTTCAATGCTAGCACGGCCAGCTTGAGGCTGTTGAATCATTCAATATATGAGAGTGCACACTTAGTTGGCCCGACTACTCTATCCAGGTCCAGGGCTGACTTTGTACCCGATGGTCTCTCACCGCATTCCAACATCGATCACTATGGCCTGCGCCAGGAACCCACTGTCGACCTGGACGTGACCAAGCTGTCATCTGATGAGCTCACTCCACCCTGTCTCTAGAGATTTGGACTATTTATCTGAACTTCGTGACTGCTGGAATGAAACCATTGTGCACTGTAACTGGTCAGTACTTCGTACGAATGCCGGTGGACACGAGTATCATAATCTGCGTTTACGACTAACACCGCAGACTGATTCAGTGGCACAAATTCCATGAGCGACAACGTCTGCGATTGTAAGACAGGGTAATGTTGGGAATGGGGCGAGGGAGCGGTTATTTACGCGGAGCGAGAAATAGAGAAACCTCACGAGGTGTGATATAGAGACCTTTTAATTTTCCGCAAAATCAAAAGATTTTGCTAGTCCCGGTTCTTTCTACGTGACACTTCAAGGATACATGTGCAGTGGCCTCAAACCAACGAAAGGATATTGGGCAGGTCCCACCCCTTCTTTGAGGTTTTGGAAGCAGAAAGATACCAAGGCTTGAAAGGGATTTGCTGGCCGCACAGCCCGCGTCTGTGGTGGTAGACCTCAAACATTGTGCATAGCGGAGGACTAATTACGACTTCGGGATTTTTAGGACTCACAACAAAGATAGTAACAAATGTCTAGCAGACCGAGAGCGGGGAGCTTGCATGGCATTGCACAGGAAGGAAAATACTTGAAGCACGATACAATTTTCACTCGAGGGCTATGGAGAAGCTCGATCGAACCTTGACCTTGATAACATTACATCGGTCGATCCGCCCTTTGAACCTTTGAAACACTCTCCGCAGCAGCTTTTTGAGGCATCGCCCTGTGATTAAGCACCATTCATCGAGAGCACCACCCATTCGTTCCTGATCCCACTAATACTCATCATGGTCCATCAGCTTGTTCAGTCCGTTGATTGTGTTGGCATGGCAAGCAAGCAAGCAGGATGTTGTAGTTAACCTTGATAGCCCGCGTAGCCGTTGCCGAAGCCGTGACCCTGTCCTTGACCCTGATTCCAACCTGGATTAGGTGCCGGCTGACCACGTCCATACCCACCAGCGCTTCCTGGCATTTGACCGTAACCCTGGGTGGGCATAGGTTGTCCTCCATAGGGAGATGGCTGAGCATCCCATCCTCCACGACCGCCTGGGCTAGGACCTGGTAGAGTCAGCTAAGCAAGCGTGTGGTCAAAGCATAAGTCTTTCGTTACCTTGAGGTGTCATGGGACCACCAGGGCCAGCTGGACCACCGTACTGAGGAAAGCCGCCATAGGGAGATGGTTGAGCGCTGTATGCACTTGCTGGAGCCGCCGGAGCTTGGGGAGAATAGGCGTCGAATTGTCCAGTAGGAGGACGATCCTTGCCCCACTAAGGTATAATAAGTCTTTCTAGTTCCAGACGTCGGGGTGATGTCATACTTACGGAGCACTTGAGAGGACGGCCATTCACATTGTAGCCAGAGAGTTGACAGATTGCCATGGCGGCGTTCTCGTGAGTGTCCATCTTGACGAATGCGAAGCCACGGTCTGACTGGAATCGGGTCTCAACAACGTAACCAAAGTTCTGGAACAATGGGACAAGGTCGTTCTGAGTGGTGTAAGGTGTCAGATTTCCAACGTAACAAGTAGTCTGCCATTGAGGAGTTTGCTGAACAACCATATCGTACGACTGAACACCATGAGTGGGAAAGTGATGATGTCCGAAGGGGGTTGTTGGAGTCATGCCCATCGCTGCCATCGCTTGTTGTTGAGAGATCGAAGGTTGGCCCTTTTGATTAGCCCAGTTGCAGCGAATAGCACGTGATCCAAGCCATTCACCGTCCATCGATGCGAGAGCCTTCTCAGCATCAGGGCGCTCACGGAATGCGACGAAGCCATAGCCACGAGATCGACCAGTCTTCATATCCCACATCACACGAGCCTCGGAGACACTACCAAAAACAGAGAAAGCCTGGAGAAGGACTTCATCGTTGACCTCGTTGGACAGATCTCCTACGAAAATGTGGAAGTGGTTGGAAGTGTCCTCTTTGTTCGAAGCATTAGATTGGTACGCCCAGTTGACACGAATTTCCTGCAGCTGTAAGCAAAAGCCACAAGATACGTGCATTTTTTTTGTGTGACCTACCGATTGATGAACTCGACGACCGTTGAGAGTAGACATCGCTCTTTCTGCCGCACCTGGATCGTCGTATTCGACGAATCCGTAGTTCAGGCCTTTGCTCTGGAACTGTGACTGGTCGGTTAGCTTTTCAGGTCAGCTTTGGAGACAAATCTGAGTAGATTAGAGGTTTGTGTGAAAGACGCATTCTTCAGTAAACACTGTGGAGTGGGCGCTAAGAATTACACGCTCAAGCCAAGGCAGCGCTCTCAAGCTAGCTTATGTTCAGGAGTGTAGGTACGACTAGCTTCGGAGAGGTTCATGCTCTCAGGCTTCCGCAACTTACATTCTTGTCTGGAATGATTTTCACGCTTTGGACGTGGCCTGTCGTCTCAAAGATTTGCTTGAGCACTTCCTCCGTGACCCGTGGATCGAGTCCTCCAACGTACAGTGCTCTCTTGTTGGGCTCGGGTGCAGCGCGGCGCACAAACCCTCCAGAGCTGGTAGGCGATAGGATATCACCGGACATCGGAGATGCCATGGCTGTGGGAATCGGATTATTGTTCTGAGGTATGACAACTGGAGGCAGAGGCGGTGGTGGCATGTGTGGATTCATCTGACCATTCATAGAAGTTGGGTCATATGATTGTTGTCCTGGAGCACCTGCCGTGCTTGATGGTGGAGGAGGCAGAGATGCTAAACCTGAAGGTGGTGCGTTCTCAGCCATTTTGAGCAGGCCCGAGAACTAAGAAAAAACCGGTGTTGTGTTGGAGCTGAAGAAATTGAAGAACACAGCGCATCCACTGCGGCTATGTCGCCCAAAAAGGGAAATCGAATCAAATCGCGAGAGAAATTCCTCCAATAATCGAGGTCGTATATTTTTTGCAATGGAGCAGTACAACACGCTGCGGAGCTGGAGAGGCAAGCGGACTCGATCGTACAAGGAAAGTCGTTGAAATACTCGGAACAAGATGTGAAGGAAGCTATTCGAATCCAAAGCTTCCAGGAACCCAAGAGAGCTCGAAGCTGCAACGAAGCTTAAGATGGCGGCGCAAAGATGCCCAAGGAGCAGACAACGTGGAAGAGGAGAAGCAAAGAGAAATGGACGAGGGAAAAAGAGGCAAGAAATCGCTCAGGCTCTCCGACGCCCAAATTACAATGCAGATCCCAACTGACAGACGGAGAGGAAGAGACAGAAGAGAAGAGAGGGAGAGCGGATGAGGGAGATGATGGAGCTTTACTCTTTACTCTGTGGATGGAGAATTATTTGGTCTACAGCTAAAGATCACAAGTCCATAGGCGAAAGACGGGAACGCTATACCGTTTTTGGACATCCAAGAGGGTGACAGGCGGAGCAACGGAAAGTACCGTGAAGATCAGGGCACGGATGCTGAAGGACAGCATCTCATTGTCCTCTCCTTCTGGCCATGAGTTTGGTCTTCCAGGAGCCGTGGGCCTGATCAGAAGAAGCAGTCGGGTCTTACTGTCGCTCTCCAGTGCTGGCACGGGATTGCTGGCTCCGTCATACATGCGGTCTGCCAGTCAAATGGCTCCTGCAAAACCTCCCTACGACCCCATTGTCAGTGTTGAGGGCATGTATAAGGGCTCTGTGAGTGAAAATAGTCTCACAGCTCGTTACAGATGATAACTGACGTAGACATTCATAGCTTACACGGCTTGGATATTTCTTCAAAGACCCAAAACACTATGGCGGAGCGACCCTGGCAGTATTGAGGGAATCAGCAAAACGTTACGATGATGCGTTGGATGACTGCCTGATACAGATCGTATGTGAGACGACAGAAGATTTTGGAGGGTTGTGCTGATCAGAAGTCTACAGCTAGATGCAAAATGGCTGCTGGAGCATCAGCTGGCACAGAACCGTGCCCGTCGAGTTCGTGAGGCAGCTGAGACTGAGATAGCATCAAACAAGAGAAAGTTAGAAAGCACTCCAGATGAAGGATCTACATACAATCATGCACCGGACAGGGGGGACAACCCTGCTAAGAGAATCAAGGTTCAACACAGTCCGCATGATATGGCATTGCCGGGACCTGAACAGAATGGTGAAGATTCTACAAAGGGCATGCATAATTCAAAGCATGCTGAGAATGCTGAGGGAGAGGCTTCCGCCGCAGCCAAACCAGATATCTTGACAGCCGAAGAGGATGGCCAAAAAGCTGGTCCGCCAGATAACAAGGAATCATCAGCAGGAGCAGCAGGCCAAGAAGAGAAGATTATTACGGCTACAGAACCTCCGCCAGACAAGCCTACTGCGCCACCACCAGAAGAAATGAGAGAGCAGAAGGAGCAGGCAGGTGAGGCAGTTCAGGCAGGTCGCACAGGAAACGATGAAGAGATGAATTTGGACTCCATGTTTGCAGATGTGAATACGGGCAATGACCAAAGCAATGACCTGAACTTCGGCTTAGACCTTAGCACAGCCAACCTGGTCGAGTCTAACCCTTTTGATTCCTCGACTCACGAAACCACCAATCTTGAGCTACTACCTGGCCTAGAATCTTACGCAAATGCTAGTAGCGACGACTTTAGTATGCTCAACCTTCCTTCCACCACGAGGCCGGATCCATCCAGTGTGCCGGGGCTGGGAACCGAGTTTGACCTTCCCGAAATCCCGGGAGACAGCAATTTCAATGATCTGTTTGCAGATGGCGATTTTGGAGGAGATGCTTCCCTGATGGACCTCGATCTGGAGAACGGCTTTTTCGACACTTAATGCTAGGAGACAGTGGCGTTGGAGGACGAGGAAGCAAAATTTGTGCTGGAGGTTAGCATGCATTTGGGGCTCAGCATGCACGTGGTGTTTATGTGGAGGAACAAGATGATACCCACATTTCAATAGAGCACAGGCCGTTCAGGAGAACAAGGATCCCAGCCGCTGGCTATCTGGGCGTTGGCATTTGTCAGTGGACCACTTTCGAACCGATGCCTGGTCGCTTTGTTAAACTCGGTCTCAATACAGCCTTGTCCAATCAATATGCCGCATCTCATCTCGGATCTGAGGCTTAGCAAAGTCGTTCCAGCGGATTAAGTTTTGCGGAAGAGCCTGATTCAGTTAAGTGGATTCCCTTTCCACATAGCGGATGCTTAGAGCGTCTTACTATATATGTACTTGACATGGTGACAATGTACAAGACATCTGAGCGCGGGCTGGTTTGTTTAGTTTTGAGACGAGATCGTCCTCTACACACACAAAGAGTATATTGGTACTGCTAAACCCAATTCAACTTCTCCGAGCTCTTCCCTAGCTGTCGAGCAGACGAATCATGAAGCAACAATTCTCCAAGATGCAGGGTCCAATGATTGACAACATGAAACGATCCTGTGGACGCTCGGCCCCATACCGGGGGCACGTGGAGGGGGAGGTAGAGAAGATCTGCAGCACGCCATTGTGCAGCGTAGTACAGATCTATATATTAGTAGCCACTATTTAACTGAAGTCTCCATCACTTAAGCCTGATCCAGCAGGTCACAGAATGTTCTTGCAGCGGAGGTTCCATTAGTTTCGGTACCGATCACCATCTACCACTACTACTTACTAGTTACTCGGATGGTGGCTAACGCTCTGATGAAACTCGCTATCAGTCTTCTAGCCTCCTTCTTTTTAGCTTCCAGAAGTCTGTGAATACTTCGCCGAATGCTCCCGAATGAAAGCCGATGTTCCCAGTTGCCCTAGCCCCGAGGTTGCTCCCGCTATATGTTTGAGCTGCTCCAGCACGCTTTCCTCTCATTTTACCCTATTAGAACTAATTCAGGAGACACGAGGAATGTAGCTGTATTTTCTGACATACAAGAGTACTATCCAGAAGACAGCAAGAGCTACATCGTTGGCCAAACCCGTACTGACATGCATGGTGATACAGTCCTCGCAGCTGTGGGTGCAGGTTGAAGCGATTTCTTTCACTAACCATGTCTTCCTCTGCCGGACACATCGAATATCTCCCAAGGAGGTCTTCACGACCTAAAAGTGGACACAATAACAGCATTGAGCCAGACGCAGAGTTGACCGAGTTCCTGGTTCCTGCACCGACCTCTCAATCGGGTTTCCTGAGGGCTCCCTTCGAGGCCAAAGCACAGGATGCCAGCCAGCACACACGATTCAGCAAGTACAGTAACATAGAGCTGCCGGAAGTGGTTGCTCCAAAGCCTGCATCAACACACCGAGCGGAAAGGCAACGAAGTCTAACGGCTGAGCAATTGAAAACAAGAGAAAGTAACAAGTGCTTTGTTCCGGACAACGCATCTCCACAGTCGCAAAGTGAGATCGTTCAGAAGGATCGTCAAGCTCAGTCGCAATTGCGATCGATGCTTGCCTCGCCGGCAACCAAATTATACACCGTCGCGCATCTGATCCTTTTCTCCATCTTGGGGACACTTGCCCGACTTGGTATGGAGGCTATGACTTTTTATCCGTCCGCACCTGTCACTTCTTCAGTCTTGTGGCCCAATTTCGCCGGATCTCTAGTACTGGGATTTCTCAACCAAGACCAACACATCTTCCGTGAAGAATGGGGAAGCTTCTCATCTCCGGAAGACTGGTCTTTCCACCCGAGTAACCTCGAACCCAACGATACCGATGCACTTCAGAACGTAATGCAAAGTCATAACAATGTTAAGAAGAGCATTCCTCTCTACATAGGTCTGGCTACCGGGTTCTGCGGCTCCTTCACCTCTTTCTCATCCTTCATTTGCGATGCCTTTTTGGCTCTGAGCAATGGGCTGGCGCCGCCCTCGCTAGGCCCGCCGATACCATCGCGTAATAATGGCTACAGCGTCGAAGCCCTGCTAGCGATTCTCATCTTGCACATTGCCGTTTCGATTTCTGGCCTCAAACTAGGTGCACACCTCGCCATGGCTGTAGACCCTATCATGCCAACGGCTCCCTTCAAAGCCGTTCGCAAATTCCTTGATCCAGCCATCGTATTCCTTGGCTTTGGGGCCTGGGTCGGCGCTGTGTTCCTCACTGTCTTCCCTCCCCGTCAAGCTTGGCGGGGTAGAGTCACTTATGCTCTGCTATTTGCACCGTTAGGGTGCCTTCTGCGGTTCTATACATCGAAGCAGCTCAATCCACGTGTGGTGGCATTTCCGCTTGGCACCTTTGCTGTGAACATGTTCGGCACCGTCATACTGGGGACATGTTTTGATTTGCAGCATTCCAGGGCTCTCGGGACAGACCTGATGAGCTGCTGGATCTTAGAAGGTGTGATGGACGGGTTTTGTGGATGCGCAACTACCGTAAGTACGTGGGTCGCTGAGTTGAACGGGTTGAAGAGGAGGCACAGCTACATCTATGGCTTTACGAGCGTCACTGTCGGATTGTCATTCTTGATAGTAATAATGGGAAGTCTGCAATGGTCGCAAGGATTTCAGCAGCCTCGTTGTACATAATCGATCTTTCCTCAGGATTATGTACTGGCTTCCTCAATGCGTGAGGTTGTCACAGAGTTTTCGTGGCTGCAGATTAAGTCTCCTAAACTTGCCCTCTACGCTGATGGGAGAAGCATGTACAGCATATAAATGTAAAGTATGTTCAGGATGCACTGTACCTGGATCCCATCATCATGCTGCATTGTGCACGCCAAGTACGTAAACGAGGATAGGTCCCTCCTCTAACGTAATAGTATTAAAATTATACCTGCACGTAGGTTAGGTCTAACTGTAAAATTGCTTAGCGTGCATAATAATGCAAAGCCACTAGTCGCTCAGAAACCAATTGAAGCCCATCGAAGTTTAACGCATATTGCCCAATGATATTGCCACACTATCGTCAACATACGCGACCCTTATCACACTGGTGTAGTCTTTGCTTGTTAGAATAATTGCTACTCCTCATTCACGGCAACCTAGCTACGTTACTAGTAGTCCATGTCTTTAGCTTCCACTTCTCCTGGTAAGCGGGCCTGGTGGCAACATCAAGCTTCGTGGTTCCGAATCTGGAAATTGGTCTCACTCTGGCAAATCGCCAGAGGAGGAGGGGGGGTTGCCAAGCGTTTCACTTACGATATGTGCTTGAACTTGATTGAAGCGAAGGGGAAAAGAACCTTTTTGCGGCTGGAACGGACGCTGTTTCAGCTTTCAAAAGTACTACGTAATGCCACGCTCGATGCTTAGCAGATACCTGCTGTCTCGGTAAGCGATCCACTCACCTGTTAAATTTCGATCTGGGGTTAGATAGTAACCTCTGTGCTTAGGGTTTAGCTTGAGTGGGCTTGGTGTTTCCTTTGTACTCGCTGCCGCCGAGAAGTGTCCGCTAGCGTGGGGAAGCTTTTCATAATCACTGACTTTTTCTAACATAACGCCCCGAATCTTAACAGCCATGAGTTATGAAATTCCCAATCAGGTTGGCGGAGACCTTTCGGCCAGCATGAGTATATTCAACAACTTTTCGGAGCCAGGAGGATACGAGGTAGGTGGTGAACATCCTGACACACGAATTTAACTTGTTGAAAATACACTGCTTGTTCGGCATTATGATCTTTCGGGTGTGGAGCCCACATGTTTCACATTCTACAGCACTTTGGAATTGCTGACACAATGTTGAGAACTCTTATTATGTCCAGAGGAAGAGCGCATCTTTCCTCCGTTTGGGTTTCAAAACTAGGGGTGGGTGGGACTTTTGCAACGGGAACTATCAGCGGGCCGTGGCTGGCTTCGGCGCTGTGATCACTTTTTTCGTATCGTTCGTGCTATCACCCTATCAGGTGTCTGCAATCATTTGGTTGGACACTAGAAGGCAGGGGGTGCTCTAAGCGCGACCCTTCAAGTTGGGGGTTTTCAGTTTTACACTGCACTATTTGTGGAGATTGTGGAGATGATGTTCACTGGTTCGATGTCGCCACATCCTTACGCTTTGACGCGTCAAGCAGGGCGTCCCGAACCCAGCCAACATGTTGGCAAGTTTTTCATGGCTAGAGGGTCAGTGTTACACAGTGCTTGGTCAATGCCAGAGCTGGCCCGCATTCCCGGCACGCATATCCAGTGATATACTTCGACCCCCACATTATCAATTCGTCTTCCCCTATTGCTGTGGTTCAGCGTCCAAAGAGTGCGATGGCTTCCTCTGGACCCCAAAAATCTGGAGATATCCTTCACCGTCAAAAGCCCCAGGTTTGACAATGCTAGACCCAGGCGCTTCAAGTACTCCTTTGATCGTCTGTTTTATGCTCCTACCAATGAGCGCTTATGCCCAGAGGAAGGCGTCCGGCAGGCGGAGGCAGGCGGAAGCAAAATGCTTCGCATTTTGCTCAGCCTGAGGTATCATCATTCCTGAACACGGAGCCCTTCCTGACCACTGATATACATATAGCCAACAACGACTTTAGAGAACTCGGACAATCAGCGTCGCACAAGAAGTTGGCATAAAGAACAGGCAGAAAGGCAGCAACAAGAAGGGATATCAGCAGCATCTAGACCGGTTCTACCGCCACGGAAACCATCTCACAAAGCTGAAGCCGACGTAGTGGTCAGTAACCACGCTAGCCGGCGCGGTCGTGGAAGGTAGATACAGAGAGGCAGGAAAGCCACCCAGACACAGAAGCCCATTCCTTCAAGGGTAACTGGCAAAAGGAAGCGACAGTCATCAGCAAAAGCTGGTAATTCAGTTCTAGATCGGATTACCATCGAGGAGCTATACCCAAAGACCGAAAGAGTAACATGTCTTCCTTCCCCGGTTTTGGTGATGTAAGTCTTACTTACCAGAGCAGAATCCGTCTGTCAACGAATGGTTGAGGCGAGTGCAAGCTTCTGTCTCAAGTGACCAAACCTGCTCTGAAAACGCAGAACCAAGAGCACTGAGCACTCTGCTGCGACAAATGCAATCGTCGAGTTCAGCTTCGATAACACCACGGGAATCCGTTGAAGGGGATTCTACTGTGAAAGGGGTAGGCAGGCCTAAAAAACTGGACTGGGATAAGCTACGAGCTCGACACGTGGATGACGATCCTTCTGACGATGTGCAGGTGCCTCATTTCGAAACACTTCTGCATTGGAAGCTTCCTAAACTCAAGGCAAAAGATGTTGAGGAATTGCAAGCCACATTCAGGAACTTTGCAGAATTGGCGGTCAAAGAGGTTGATTATCCTGACGTCGAAGCAGTGGCCAACGAGTTCGATAGGTGGAAGTCAAAAGTCAGTCTCGCCAAGATAACCCAAGAGCACTTCTCAAGCGACGTTACAAGGTGCACCTTTTCGAACGAAGCGATGCTCCAGAGGACTATTATGATCGAAATCATTGACCGTCATCAGCTTCACCACTTCCTCACCTTTGACAGTGAAGGCCAATGGAAGCAGCATTACTCGGACTGCTTAATCTCAACCGACTCGGACTTGGTCACCCTTCCAAAGCCCGATCTGAACGTGAGCTTCAAGCTGGACTCATTCGACAAATCGGCTCCCATCCCGGGCAACCTCAAGCAGTCGTTCCGTCCTGATAGCACAGGGCAAAAGTACGGACGCTGCTTCCCGTTCTTATTCTTCGAAGTCAAAAGGGCAACAGACAATCTTGAAGTTGCTTTGATGGCAAACCTCCATAGCGCCAGTCAGGCTCTTCTCAACATCTATGCATGGATGGTGAGAGCGCAACGTGCAGAAACCTTCTTCGAGAAAGTCCGCGTTTTCAGCTTTGTTTTCAACGCTCAAGCGCTCTCGGTCCGGATGCATCGTGCCACGCGTCACGAACACAATCTCCTCCAATATCACTTTGTGGAGCTTGTCGACTTCAACAAATACTCGAAAGATCAGGTGTGTTTGCTGGTAAGGAATATTCTGGAAAAATATGCCATCCAAGAACTTCATCCTGTTTTGAAGCCATCTTTTCATATCGTGACAGATGAAAAACGCAGATCGGTTGAGGATCGTCGGGCAACTTTTGTCAAGGCCAGTGCTGCCAATCGAGCACGAAGCCGAGGTATTTCCAACGCAACGGTTGAGCACTCCTCGTCCTTCGGGTTTTCTGGCTTATCGACATAGGGGGCAAGCGCGTGTCAATATCGTGTTAGCCATTTTGCAAGGGGAAAAAGAGCTACCAGGGAATTGTTGAGGTGGCTGTCCCAGTATAATGTTGATGTCATTGACTTGTCTTTGCACTGCGACTGAGTGCTGGTTTTTACTCGAGCCACCGAAAAGTGCGTTCCTTCCTACCTGGGTTTAGAATCTTGGCCTCTGTATCGTGAAGTCACCATGAGCTGGCGAAAAAAAGGAGTTTGGGCATTCGTATGTATCGTCGTAATGGTGATATAACGACGTTAACTTTCCTGTACGTAGTAGTTCAAGACCCTGCAGTAACTACCAAATTCGGTTTAGATTATCAACTTTAGAACGCACGTTTTGGCGGCTCGAGTATTCATCGAGTACTCATTCAATCACTCTATAATTCGTGATCTGCAAGGCCCAGTTACGAGCTGGGGGAGATAGCGATGAATCTTGGGGGGAAATGGAGGACAAAGAGATAATCCTATGATATCATGGAACTTTCCCTCATCGACTTTCACCGGATCATTACTACGTAAGTCAAGGAGCGCCAGCATAGTAGTGCCTGTAATAGTAGTGCCCAGCATAATAGATAATAGTAGTGCCCAGCGAACTTCAATTGTTACTGCAGTGCCATGGTACTAAACTAAGACAGGGCCCCCTGCGAGTCAATCAAGTCTCCTAATTGGGCTTAACGCGATTGCTCCCCTAAAGCATGTCTCAACTTGAAGCCCAACATGCAATTTCCCTGCTGTAACTTCTAGACCACCACGACGCACACTCCCTAAGACATTCTCCCTTCTGGCACGCGTTACTCTTTTCGTAGACCCATACCATTCTCTCTCTCTCGTTTATTCATCCTTATTCCTTTTTGCTGGTCGTACAGATCCTCTACAGTCTCAGCAAACCTCCCGACTGTTTGTTTACTTGGCGTTAACGCTCTAAGCGAGGGCCAGGGGGGGGTTCCAATGCTGCGCAAACAGGTTATCACAGTGTGACGAAAACATATCGCCTCGGATTCAAGCACACAATCATCGATCGTTCGAACCAGCTGTGATCTATCACGGTGTCTAAACATCGTATCGAAGTCCTTTCAAACCCTCCAGCGCATTTCTCCCCGGTTGCGAACCACCCTTCCCAAACCTCGCCTCACCATCACTTCTATTCCATACCATCAACATGCGCCTTCAACCTTCCTCCTCGACCTCAAACTCCCTCCTCCTACTCCTCCTCCCCATCCTCACCACCGCCTCCCCTCTCACAACCGGCATCAACGAACAATTCACCCAACCAACATCAACATCAACATCAACACCAACCCCCTCCGCATCACCCGCCCTCGACCCCTCCCGCTGGCGCCCCGTCTCCACACCCTCCTCCTCCCCTCCTCCACCTCCACACACACTCCTCAACTCGACCTCCGCGAAATCGTCAACCAACCCGCCGGCGCCCAACCGGCCCTGAACCCGACCCAGGTATCGCCCGTCACGACGCTGATGATCTGGCAGACCGTCGCCCCCGGCGCTCCCGCCCAACAAGTCCAGGTCGTCTACTCGCAAGCCTTCGCAGACGTCCCCGATCAATGGGAATTGCCGGTCGCCGGGTCGATCGGCTTGGGCACCATCAAGGGCACCGTGGGCGTGGTCAAGACCAACAACAAAGTGAGGAGGGGCATCGTGGCCTGGCCGACTGCCGTGCCGCAGGCGCCGGGGGAGGGGACGTTTCTGAAGGTCGAGAAGGTCGAGGAGAGGGATGCCGCGGCGTTTGTGATTTTGCCGCCGGGGAATAACGACGGCGGCGTCGTTGTCCGCGAGGAGCAGAGCGGGCTGGAGAAGCGGAAGGGGAAGGGTGGTACAGGGAGTAGTGGGTCTTCGAGCGCGGCGGGGAGGGTCATCCTCGGTGCTGGGCCGCCGACTTTGGCGCTCTTGATTGCGCTTGTGGCTTGCATGGTCATCTGAGAGCTCCAAGGCGAGTCGGGGCAGATGATGCACCCTTATTTAATCCACTTTACGCTGCTGCGGTAATCTTTCTGTCTCATCGGTTCAAGGTCGAGCGAGTGAGGTATTTCTCTAGATCATTGGTAGCTCTGGCGCTGTGTGCCGGCCCAATTGTACATTATTCTATCTTTCCATCGCCAGCATGCTAAGGATCGTGGGTATCAAAGTTAGTCTCTGCAATCGTCCTCCTAGTTCATGGCGTCCCCGCAGGTGGTATCATATCATAGCAACTGCAACCTCACCGTCATCATCAACAACAACAACTCGCTACGTTTTTGTGGTTGCATGGTCCTTTTGCCCCTGAAATGCCAACCTTCCGGTCTTCGCTACTGATCATCAGCATTATAATGAAGTAATAGCCCTTGATGCGCGTTTCGGCTCCAAACTCATTATTCATTCATAAATCCTGCCCCAGTCCGGCACCACGACGAATTTATTCCTCACCTGACTCAGCGCCCACGCCTTTTTTCCTCCATCGAAACCCCCGCTCACGGACTGATCACCTCCATCACCACCACCACCGCCACCACCGGCAGCAGAAGACGGCGAGGAAGAAGAGGCGAGGAGAACCACATCCTGCAGGAAATCCACCTCGGCGCCCCATTTCACCTCCAGATTTGTCGCTTCGTTCGTGTGGCCGCCGTGTCCCCATTCTAGGGTCACCTTGCCGGATTGGTGGACGTGGAGTTTACCGGCTAGACCGGCGGGGAGGGATGAGGGATTGCACGCCGTGAGGAGTGGAGGTCTTTCGGGTTCGGTAGCGCTGGTAGTGGTTAGAGGTGTCTTGGTATCTGCACCGTCCTCTTTCTTGACCTGGGGTTCTGCGGGGGCTGGAGCTGAGGCTGAGGCAGGAGCGTTGGGTTCGGTGAAGGTTGTGGTGGGTTCGGATTTGATTTCGGGCTGTTTTGGTGGTTGGGAGGGGTTGATGAGCATGGGCGTCAGGGGTGGGAATTGGAAGAGGTAGAGGCCGCCTTCTCTCGGATCACTCAGAGGTGCTGCTTCATGGGACTTTTCGTCGCCCTGATGATGCTCATGCGTCCCCGGGGCTAGTTCGTTTTTCAATCTTCGTAGGTCGGATGCGTACCTTGCCCTTTCTGCACGCTCTTCAATGGTCTCGAATTCAGGTTTAAGGCCTTTGGTACTGGACTTTCTTCGTCGCTTGGTGGGACTCTGTGATGGAAGGTTCGACTTGTCTGCAAGTGGAGGGGTTGTTTGCTCTGCTGTGACTGCGATGTTTTCGTCTTCTTCGTCCACATCCATTGTGTCTCCATGGTCCTTATCAGCTTTTTGGGGGTCTATCCCCTTCGCTTTTCTTCTGACCTTCGTGTATGCTTCATTCTCGGTGTCGTCTCTTACATGAGTATCTCTCACGGCTCGCACAGGTCTCAAACCCAGAGTTGGCTTTGGAGTCTTGTTGACCCGTCTCCTGCGCGAGAGCACGATGTCGTCATCTACTTCTTCGTCCCCGTCTGATGAAATGGAAATCCTGTCAATGTCCTCAATGTCGACGGGTTTGCCCTCTTGTCCTTCTACGTCTCCATCAGAGAAGTAGATTGCATCCTCTTTCTTGGCGGTAGTTTTGGCCTGTCTTCCAGACTTCTTCTGATTGGCAGATATTGGCTTCTCTTCGTTGCTGGCCACGGCTCTGGCTTTTCCGAGGCGTTCCCTCTCAAGTGAAACGCTTTCTCCACCTTCAGCTCCTTGGATCAACTCCTCGGTTCCGCTTACTGCATGAGCGTTCTTCGATTTAGAACTCGTAGCCCCAGCGCCTGAACCGAATACACTTGCTGTATTCTGAGTCTTGACTCTAGCGTCTCTTTGTGTAGAAGCTGTCCGTCTGGCCGCATCTTGCTGTGCCGGAGAAGCCTGTGGCTGTATCTGATTTGCCAGACGAAGTGCTTCAGCTTGTATAGCGGCCGCACGTTGTTCTGGGTTCTTGCGATTGATGCCTGCCTTGACCCTGAACCTATGGGTGGAAGCATTACTTGGGAGATCAGACATCTGGCAGAAAATAGGTTTGGAAAGCAAGCGATATGCTGGAGAGGAACTAGCGCTGATAGGAAGTAGGCCAAGCACAATACATCAAGCGCAGAACACTGATAAGAAAGCGTGTTCTCTGAGAGCTCTCAAATTATGTAGATGTGTCCCGAATACTGGACGGCATGACACTGAAAGTCGTCTCAGAAAAAGGATGGTACAGAGTAATGTCACTGCCAAGCAAGGAAATAACTAGTACGAGAGGAGGCATAAGTGGTTGTTAGCTTCAAGCTAAAAATTCTGTATTTTACACAGCCTTGACGGATTTGTACTTTACTGAACGATCTTAGTCGGTATGGTTCTCACAACAAAGCTAATCATCATGATTGGTGAGGGGTCAAGATTTTTAATAGTTCTGGAGGACGCCAGACCCTTGTATCAAAAACTAGTTATCATTAGCTCATGCTACAAGTGCCTACTACGTACGTAGTATGCCTCCTAGCGTAGTATATTCTTGGAGATTTCAAGCTAGAGCCGTCAAGAAGATTGTCGGAGATAAGAAGGAACCGAGTCACCAAGGCCGCTAGTAAGATGACATATTGGACGAGACGCTGCTGGTCATGCGCTCACCAGTTGTCGTCTCCTGTTCAGTGTTACCCGGCCCCGTTCTATTCAAATCAAGATGAGATGTGTGACAGCCGTACGGCAAAGTATTCTACGACTGAAGAACAACTTCAGAGTATCTGATATTCTCCCGTATCGGATCTGATAAGCATATACTATTCCCAAGTCCATTTCCTCTCATTCTGCGCCATTGCCCATCTTTTCCCATATCCACACAAAGGCATTGTTGCATGTCATTGATCTCGTTGCAGCGATACCACAAAGTTGCGTGAGGCATGGAAAATATTTTTGGAAAGGAAATCGTCACCAGCTTCGGATCTTGGTCTAGTCCCACCTGACCTGGCCCGACATGTCAGCGCCTCCTCTAAGCCTTCAAGGCATCAGCTTTTAACATGAAGCTCAGCAAGCACCCGCGAAACAAGGAGTAGAACGACAGAAGCTATAGCCAGCCATGGCACTACCCAAATAACAACACTTTCAGCGCTTTTGCCAAAACACTTTTCTTCCATCCTGGCCGATATTCCCCTGGCTGAAGCGGCATTCCATGATTGGTGAGCATTTCATCTCTTCCTCTTCTTGCTTTTGTCAGAACTTACTTCAGCACTGGCTTGGCCGTGTGCGACAGCTCCGGCAGTTCGAGATCTATCCTCCTCGGCCAGTTCTTCAGCGGATTTCTTGACAACCACACCCATGTGACGTCCGTACCGTCCCTTCCTACCATTGCCTTCGTCCTCACTAATGCAGCCTTCGACTCCAATGCCGGCATCTTTACATCGCTGGCAGGGGCGCTGCCGGTCACATCCTTTCTTGCTTTTTCGGCACCGTTGGCATCGAGGCTTGGAAGACAAATCTTCTTCGTCAGCTGCGAGCTGATGTTGGAAGTTGAGCATCGAGGCGGAAGTTTTTCGCACAGGGCTGCCGGCCGGAGCAGTAGGGGCCTTCATCAGAACAGGATTCGCTGGAGACTTGGATGTTTTCGGCAAAGGATTTGGCCGACTCTTCGCAGTGGGTCCCGATCGGGCAATACTCGATTTCGGTCTGATACCCTGTGAGGAACCATCGAATATCTTCGTTTTGATCTTCTTGGCTTTTGGCGGACCGTCGCTGACATCAAACTCCTCGCTCTTGATAATTTTATCATGGTGATAGTCGTCATCTGCACCATCATCGGTGCTGTAAGTCCTTGCTCGACGTGGTTTGGGCAGGTCCATGTCATGGTCGCTATACTCATCACTGTCGCTAGTGGCACCGGTCGAGGACGCGACATCAGCTACTCCACTGAAAGCATCATCCAGAGTAGAAGCGGAGGTACGGCCGAGGGAGAAGTTGGAAGCATCACCGAGGGCGATCAATTGGCGAGCCACGTCTTCATCGGAAATGCAGCTTGCAATAGTAGGGTCCGGGGTAGGCAAGATCCCCTGACTAGTGTTTCCCGCTCTTGTGCGCGAAGCATTTTGTGCCCCGCCTCGATTACGAAGACGATGACCATGTTGAGGTGGTTTGGTCGATGGTGGCGGACGGCGATTGTCTTGCCGGGCTGCACGCCTTTCTTCGTTCGATCCCTGCGGGGATGGTAGGGCCTGAAAATTGTGATGGAAGAGCTTCTGCGAAGGCAAGGCGAATGGAGAAGGAGCAGCTTGGCCACCGATTCGACGTTGAGGAGATATAGACGACTGAGACGTCGTCAAAGGTACTTGGGGAGGCACGAAGAGAGGTAATTCCTGGTAACCGCGTCAGTGGAGTAGTGTTGGGAGAGATTCGGTAACATACAGAGCTGTCGAATTTTGGTCTGTTTCTTCGCCCATCTTGCAAAACGTTCTCGAGACTAATCTCTGCGCTTACAAATTGTTCGCTTCTTGCTTTTCGAGAACCAGTTATGGAGCTTTGCCCGCCATCACTGTCACTATACCCATTTATTACGTCGTCATTGTGGCTGCCATGTGTGCTCGAATTACGGCTCCGGAGCTCCGATCTAGAACCTCTTTTCTGCTGTGAGATGCTTCTGCCCCTGCCAGCATCGGGAGGCGACGCGCTCCTCTTCCGAGCAAGTCGAGACGTAGGACGAGAAGGCGCCTGAGTGTGGTCCAGGGTAGGGTGAGGTGGAGGCATTTGAAAGGGCTCACCTAAGCTCAGTCGTCGTTGTGGCTCTGGAAGGATTGCACCATATTGTTGTGGATATGGTGGTGCTGACGAAGGATATGGCTGGCCAGGGATGATGCGTACGTATATCACCATATCGTGCCTTACATTCTCGTAGCGTGCGATCAATGTGTTCCCATGTGTATCTTCAAAACTGACGCCGTGGCCTTCGTATATTCCGTACCAATTTTTCACGGTCGCAATGATTGAATCTGTTGTATCATGCGGATTGATCACCACGCGCATGGGGATTCTTGCTCTGGTCTTCGTTGTCTCGTCGAGCAGTAATTCGAAGGAGACCTTCTTTGGCGGGGTGGCCGTTGACTGCTTCAGCGTGGTTGGGCTGACTGGATTCATCACGTCCATTGTCTTCGGATAGATGGGCTTGTTGTTTGTGACAGAGCTCTGCAGGTTTGTTGGCTTTGGCTCGTCTTTCAGCTGCGCTCGATGGCTGCCGAAGCTGTTATGGTGGGCCTGGGAAGGTTGTAACGCAGGTTTGTTGAATTCTGATGATCTTGTCTGATAGGTCGAATCATCGGTCAGAAGACTCGAGACTTCCATCGATTGAAAGTGACAGGCTTGTTGATTCTGTGGTGATCTATGCACGACGGTGGGCGTTGGAAGGCGAAGGACTTTGAGACTGAGGAAAAGGAAAAGGGCTGTGTCGAAGAAGAGAGGGCTGGCAGCAAGAGGAAACCCGATCCTGACGATAGGCCGTAATTGACACTGTAGGAAAAATTAGCTATACTCTCCTATGGCGAATAATGCTTGAGATGGCTATTGGGAATTGAATATAGGCAATTATGGTATTGAACGACCTGGAGGTGTTCCGTGGTAACCCAGTACCTATGCGCAGGGTGGCTGAACGATGAGCAGAGTACGAGAAGATCTTACCGAATGGATTGAATGTTGATAAATCTTACGTCGCAGGAGGCTCACGACGTGCAAGAGCTTTGATCAATTCTAGAAGCGAGGTGCAAGATATAAGCGAGACCAATGCCCTGTATTGGCCAACGTCGTCAGTGCCAGAGTGTAATATCGAAGGAAAGCAGGGCTGTATTCGTAAAACAACGACTCGAGGATAGTGATGATGAATCGGCGATGCTCTTGAACCTCTGCACAAGCGGTCGGGGTCAAAAAGAGTGATGTTGAGGGTGCGCAGGTGTTGAGGAGAAAGCAAGGTGCAGTGCATGTCAGTGGATGTCAGTGGGCGGGAGGTTTCACCCAAGCCAAGGTGGTCAAGGGTCTGCGCTGACAAGAGCCATCGCGCTCCCACAGTGCTCCATCGTCAAGGCCACAAGCTGCTACATATAGTGATGTGGTAACTTCACTCTACGGTGCTATTAAAGCAATATATGTTCTATGCTTGAAATGTTAGGCAGAATATAGACTCCTCAGTCCTGTAAGAGTAGCCGGGCTCCTAGTTCTGACCCACAGGCATGCCGTATCAGAAAGGATGGAGAGCGCATATGACAAGAGAGTGCCTTCACCAGTCTGGAGCTCGCTTGACAGCGCGCGATCAAGCAGAATCTTGAAAAGTCAAGCTCGGTCAGATTGACCGAACAAATGTTGGCTGCATCCAAGCAGACCAGCCCCTCTTCTCCCCAACATTCAGCATGACCGAGATAGCTGGTGGCCGAAAAGCAGCAAGCGCAGTGGTATTTATACGCTGGTTTCCAACGGTTTGCGGACTAGCAAGCCAATTGGGGTCAATGAGGCCTTCCGTATGAGCGGAGGTATCTTTCCGTGCTCCAGAATTACACTCGCCAAATCGAGCCAATTATGAGTCCTGTTGGCAGTTCCGACATCATGGCTGGCGCAGGAAAAAGTCAGCCAGACACGACAGAGATGCCGCGGTCTAGGACATATATACGAGCCAGGATTGATGCCACCTGGGGTGGTACTCCGAGTCAGCCATCTGGCGCGAAGGCTCAAGGTTGTGTCATCGCAGATCGTCATACAGTTAGTGAATTCCGTAATCGTCCTTCGTAGTAAACGTAGCTTAACTTCGAATCAATTCCATACTCCTTTGAAGCAGATAACGCCTTCGCATAGTATTGCTGTTGCAAAGCTCGGACACACGCCGTCCATGATTGCCAATCATTTACATGTCCGCCCCCATTTGGCTTTTTGATTGGCAACAGCGGCACGTCTCGGTTTCACCAGGTCTGTGGGCGGCAGGCCGGCAAAATCGCAGGCAAGACTTTCCATCCGGTAGTTAAAGGCCGTACCGTGGATTTCGAGACCGAGATACCTGCGATAAAGTATTTTGTGAACCAGTATTCGATCCCTGCAGCTACAAGCTTCACTAAAGCATGAAACGCTCAACACGAGCGCTTTACGATGTTGGCAAGGGCCTTTTGCGCAGATATTCCTTTTTTGGGCGCAAATCACAACAGTCCACCAGGCTTCTAATATTAGGTTGGAATCGATGTCAACTGGCTTTCCGAAGGAATGACCTGTTTGGTCATGCGCTTGCATATGCAACACTCCAAGGAGTAAGAACCTGTCCAGCATAGGGAGATTCACATACGGCCTTTTTCCCCCAGCATGTCAAGGCCAACTTGATGATGCTGAGCAACCTTTTCCACGATGGGATAGGGGAAAGGTTCCAGAAGACCTGTGTACTGATGCACCAGCTTTATTTCTCGGAAAGATTCAACTTCTTTAGAAGGTCCACTCCATGTGCTTCACACGAGGTCAACAAAAATCTTTTCCAGGTTGTAATCAGTGCTATATCTCACACTCAGCGGCTTTGTGTTTGTAGTACGAAGATCACTTTCCTCGAATGCCGGATTGTGCTCATCAAGGCTGGAAAAGCGACCCTCTGAGTAGCGAGAAACGAGTGTCAGCATACCAGGTATGCACAATGTCAAGCATTGGAGAACTTCTGGTCTCTTGGCTTGAGACCAGGTGGTTGCTACGCGGAGGCATATCAAGGTCATCTCACTCAGAGGAAAAGCGAATAGATCAGGTGATCGCGCGGTTTTAGCGTGTATAATCTGAAGAAGGAGCAGTGTGCTGTTATGTAGCGAATGAGGCGGCTTCAAAGACAGCAAGACTTTATTCAAGCTCAAAGACACGTAGTGTTCATTTTTGAGCCAGGAAGGAGATTGTTTTGGTTGAATATGCACATTATTGTCCATTCTGGAGAGTTCGGGGAGACGTGTAAAGGGCCGCCATGCCAATGACGTTAGTGCCAAGCAGCGCCAAAGAAGCTTAGTGATGGTTGCTTTGCAAAAATGCTAGCTCGACTAATTCCACTAGCGCCGAACTTTCTGTGTTTACCTTGGTGAAAGTGCTGTCAAAACAAGGTGAACAACTCCAAATTTACAATTTACAATGCACAGCTTTACTCTTTGCATACCACAATTCTAAAGACCCGCAATTCCAGCTTGACGGGTTTTCGTCTTCGGCCTTTGGTTGGAGCCTCTCAGAAGCTACCGTGTTTGCTGGATTCCTGCCCCCAGCTGCCATCTCAGCAGCTTATGCCAGGCACTGTCAAGTACCTTGGAGTTCGACGACAGATAATAACAACCACAACAACAACACGTTCACTCACAGACTCTAATCCATAACGACTATGGATGCTAAGGTATGCATGTCTCTAACATTCTTTGGCAAAGATATCACCACATTTTTCCAAGCGGTTGAATGATGGCGCGTCCAACGCGTCACTTACCCCTTAACCCTTACCATCAAGCTTAGCGACCAGAGATGTTGAGATGATATACTGACAATACCTATGATATAGCCACAACGCCCTGTGCGTATCCTACGCGTTCGACCAGACGAAAATGCTCTGCCTACCTTACCTGGAGGGAAGACAATTCATCAACGAAACAAATCTAGCCCAGCACTCTCATCAGCCCTTGGTGCAGCTGGCTTGAAAGCACCAGCTAAGAGAACTGCATTCGGAGACGTCAGCAATACCAACAACGGTGTGCGACCCACAAAGGACGACGGTGCAATTCAGTTGAAGCAAGCAGTACAGGTCAATGAGAAACCAGTATCATTGGTTGCGGACAAGAAAACAACGACGTTTCTCAAACAAGCGTCTCGGCCTTACTCAGTTGCCAATCTTAGAGGTCTACTCGCTGGTGGTAGCGGTAATACAAGCACTGAAGTAGTAACAAAGCCTACGCCAACTGAGACCGACACGTCCGCAAATTACCGCAAACAACCAACTAAACGATCTACAACCACCATCTTCAAGGATGTGACACTTAGCGCTGTTGAGGAGCCTGCTTCCAAATCGAGGACAGAGATTGAATCTGCTGCGACTTCTATTTCCCTCACCAAGCCGTCACTTCCATTAGATGTCTCTTTCATCACAAACGGAACAGATGTTCAACAGCCGGAAGCTATTCTTGCTTCAGACGCGAGCCTCGACCGCGCAGAGAAGTCTTGGACTGAACCAAACACAGAGTCAAATGAAGTAGAGGATTTGGCAGCATTGAGATCCGATGGCATCTACATTGATGACAATGGCAACGTACAGATATATCAAGAGGTACAGCTAGAGGCAGATGACCGGAACCAACCCACTTACCCTCTATCAAAGCCGGCTTCCACAGGCCAAACAAAATTAGAAGTCTATCCTGCATCTACTACTGAAGTTCACGCGTCGAGTGTCCCAGTCGCAGACAGTGTGCAGAGCCAACTGGCACAACGTGCTGAGCCCGAAGAGTACTGGGAGGAAGACGATGAGAACTACGACGAGGAAGGCTACGTTACTGCTCGCTCGTTTCGATCTCGAGGAGAGAACACGACCGGAGGAGCAACAACAGTACTCTTTCCACTAGTCAACCAGAAGATCAAGAAGGAGATCGAAGCTGCGAAGCAGTTAGTAGAGGCCGAGAGGACCCCGGAAGAGATCGAGGACGAGTGCTTCGATACCAGCATGGTGGCAGAGTATGGTGATGAGATCTTTGAGTATATGAAGGATCTCGAGGTTCGTAGCAACAGTCCTGGCTGCTGAAGCTAGATATTGACAATATCTCACAGGTCAAGATGCTGCCAAATCCACATTACATGGACAACCAGGCAGAGATCAAGTGGTCGATGCGGACAGTCCTCATGGATTGGGTGATCCAAGTTCATCATCGGTTCAACCTCCTGCCGGAAACCTTGTTTCTCACAGTCAACTACATCGACCGCTTCCTTTCGTGTAAGATCGTTTCCCTTGGAAAGCTGCAGTTAGTGGGAGCAACTGCCATCTTCATTGCTGCCAAGTATGAAGAGATCAATTGTCCTTCAGTGCAAGAGATCGTCTACATGGTCGATGGTGGATATACGATTGACGAGATTCTCAAGGCGGAGAGATTCATGCTTACTATGCTTCAATTCGAACTCGGCTGGCCAGGGCCGATGAGTTTCCTTCGCAGAATCAGCAAGGCAGATGACTACGACCTTGAGACGAGGACGCTAGCGAAGTACTTCTTGGAGGTGACAGTCATGGACGAACAATTCCTTGGAAGCCCACCAAGTTTCACTGCGGCGGCGGCGCATTGCCTTGCTCGATTGATGCTCAGAAAGGGCCGATGGGTAAGTCGTTTCCCTTAGCATTCGTCTTTTCCATAGTGGCTCACATAGGCTCAGACACCTCAGCATGTGTGCTACTCCGACTATACGTACACCCAGCTCCTTCGCCTTTTGCCACGAATTGTGGAATGTTGTGAGCAACCTCGCAAGCATCATGCACAGGTCTTCCAAAAGTACTCTGACAAGCGATACAAACGGGCTTCCATCTTCGTTGAAGGCGAGATGGCCCGGGGATTCATGCTTCCTGCCTCAACCAAGGATTCCGGATTGCCTTACACTCCTCAATTCTTCGATCCATCAGCATGGCGCCATCTGTGAACTTAACAAGCACCTAGCACAAAATAAGTATGGCCGTTGATTCCCATACCCGCCTTGTGAGCAACTCAAACTTCTTCGTGGCTGGCTTGGATTTGGTCATCTCTGGCCATAACAGTCACCCACACCACAGCACTTCCACCCATCAATCCCACGAAAGCATTCACGAACACAACACATGACTTTACGAAGCACCTTTTATTCCCCCTGTTGCAATATCATCTTTCATGCCCTCGGTCCTGCACATAAAGCTTCGCCGGCGACACATGTTGTCGGTTGAACTTCAGACCTTATGGCAAGCGGCGTTATCGGTCGGACATGTTTTCTCAGCGAGCAAGGGTGGCAGCTCGGTCCTCTCTCGGCGTTCAAAGGGTGGGAAAGAGAGTCAGGGTCACTGACCATGAATTGGGTGCATTGGGCGATGAGAGGCAGTCAGACAAAGTCGACAGATGATGCTCTATGGATAGCTAGCTCATTCAAAGGATGAGACCGAAACCGCGACTAAGCCTACTAGATCAACCCATAATGAATTCATTATTGCATATTGCAAACAAAGTTCTAATGTTTATTAGTAACAGCGATGATGAAAGCGGTTTGGTTTCCGGATGCCGCAACTAGTGACTTGAGGCGCGACTTGAGGCGCAATTCGAGGCGCAATTTGCCGTGCTAGAGAATTGGCTCCCGTAACCAATCGTAGGTCATATCACCAAAGTTTACGTACCAAGGTGCTATTGGCTGACATTCTCCTTTCTCCTTCACTGTCCCCTGGCTCCGCCCCTTTCCCTAGCCGCGCTGACAGTCTGACCAAAGACCTGGATGGCTATGCTTCACTGCCGCCCAGCCCCAATACATTTATAACTATGGTTATGGTGTGAAACAGAAGCGGTCATGTTATTTACTGTCAGGAAGACCTGGAATTAGCCATCATTAAAGCTTCGTCATACGCTGTATCTTCCAATGAACCTGCCACCACTCCTTCATTCACTACCACAACATTCACTACCACAAATTGCAAATTGCAGTAGTACCTTCAAGTTATTTGCCTTGCATAATGTGTAACAGCTTTCTCCACAGACTCCTACATTAGCAGAAAACTTCTACTTTCCACTATCATTCCACATCCATTACTGGCCTCTTTCAACAATCGTTTCACCACCATAGGAACAGCTATCAGCTATTAGCTATCAGCTATCAGCTAATATGTCATTTCTCAAAGCATTCGTGAGGTTGCTTATTGCAGCTTCTTTCTCGCTCGCAACCGCACAGAATGGCAGTTATCCCTCCAACACAGTTCAGATCGTCAAAGGTGTTGACCTTCAGCTTCCACCCACTGCTTTTGGTGGTGGGATCGAAGGTGCTGCTGTCAATGCCCAGGGCGACGTCTTCGCTGTAGATTACCGTGCGGCAGGCGCAGGGCCAAACAAGGCCTTCGGATTCTTCAGCGAGACCGAAGGGGGCACTGAGAGCGTTCTCAACCTGGCAGCCAACCCGATCTTCAACGCCTCGACAGAAGGTGTAGCTAATCCACCTTTGATCAACGGAGCGAGATTTCTCAAAGATGGTCGAATTCTAATCGCGGATGCTAACAACAGCCGTGTGCTTTCGGTCAAAGACGCACGCTCCTCCACCTTCTGCACAGATGCGGCGATGCTGCAACCGAACGATCTCGCCCTGTCCGTCAATATCCCCGAAATGATCTATCTCTCTGGACAAAACTTCACAGAGACCACAATTGCCGGGCAGCATGGCGCCCTCTGGACCTGTGCTGGCAGCACCGCCATGCAATTTCCCCCAGCCCTTCTCGCCCAGGCGGACGTACATCGTACCAACGGCATTGAGACATCCCCCTGCGGAAGACACCTCTACCTTTCCTCCGCCACAAACGTCGCCGGTAACGTAACAGCCAACCGTATTTACCGCTTCAACATTCATACACCTACCGGTATTCTTATAAGCCAGACACCATCTGTGTTCTACGAGTTTACTGGTGCCGATGCCGCAATCGATATCGATGGTATGCGTGCTGACGTCCGCGGCAACCTATACGTCACACGTAATGGTGATGGTAAGATCGTCAAACTTTCTCCGGAGGGTCAACTGTTGATGACCATCAACTTACCTGGCATGGGAGGACCGAGTAATCTCGAATTCGGCGGTGCAGAGGGCAAGACATTATTCGCAGTCGGGTCATGTAAGGCGAATGCCACTATCGGCTGCGCTGCCAAATTTGAAGGCGAAACGGTCGGAAAGGCATTCAGGCTCCTCCAATAGTTGTTGCAAATAAGCGGCAAGGACATACCACTGGGGTTCTTTCTTTTGTTGTAGATTAGAGTAAACAGTCATCAGTTGCCTCAAACTCACGGCAAATAAATTCCTGCATCACAACTTTCCGTGTTGAAGGCTGTGGTCATGCTATGCTGACATTGCTTTTGTTTCATGATGATTTTGGTTGTCGTTACCGCCGACATATTCCGTACTACCTGGGTTAAAAATTCTATCACTACAAATACCTTGTAATGATCAATTCCTCTGCCGAAGCCAAACGCAATTTGTGGCATTGTCGAAAGCTCAATCACCTTTGGCTGCGCGTTTCACCCTGGATCCATCCTCACCGAGCCCCAAACCGGCGCAAAAAGCCAACCGCAGACTTCCAGGTCCATACAACATTACGAAATTAACCCACTCCTCCATCCTCCATCTGCTCGGGTTGACAAACACCTCCCAGCCCAAGATTCGATATTGTGATGCCAAATGCACGCAATCGCATAAGAACATGCCAAACAGGATGGATTTCCAGACTCGCACATCCTCCCCAGCAACGCGTAGCACCACCGCCTGGCACCAGGCGAACAACAGCAGCAGGGCGCCCACCTGGTCGTAGATGGGCTGCTCGAGCGGATTGTACGTCGTGGACGTGGCGCTCGGGGAGAACACTTGGAGATAGGACACCGGAGTAAGGACGACTTTGAGTGCGCCGGCGAAGGCGGCAAAGGGTTCGAAGTACAGGAAAAGGAAGCGATATGGGAAGAATGGTATCTGGTGATTTATCCGACGCATTTCTGCTGGCTGGGTGGTAAACTACTTGTCCAGGTAGGTTGTAGGGAGTCCACCATGTCAAATGCTGCAACTTGAAGGACTCAAAGGAGATACCAGTCCTCTTGGCGCTGCTCATGCCAAGACGAATCAGTCATCGACATCCTAACGAGTACTAGTGACTCGTATTGCTTTTTGCAACAATTGATTTCTTTTGATCTAAGTCGATGTCCACGGACTCCAGCGTACTGGAACTGAAGGACTTTAACGACGACAGAATCACTCTTGATGCTGTTCTTAGAAGAGCACGACATGCTCCAGCGACTAACGTACGGGGAAAAGAGGCGCAAATGTTGCACCCATCTGCTGGATCGTAACACTGAGATCGAAACACTGAGATCGAGGCTGTTTTATTTTGTCGCCTCGCCCCTTGAGATCAAGGGATTCATGGGTGCTTCAGCATGTGCGTGTCCGTTCACGCCAAAAGCGGAAACCGTCCAGACAAAGCAGTGATTTCCAGGATTCTCAGATTTCCAATGCCATAAAGTAGGCGAGGAGTCTTCCGCCAGCAATGTGGAGGAGAAGCTACCGGGTGAAGCCGCCACCTACATTTGGATTTAAGACAAGGAAAGCCCAAAGGTACTTAAACCCAATATTTGTCGCTAAAACTCTTTCCATTTTCCCCTACGTCCCACTCCGCTCTCCTGTCTGCCAATGGCGGAAAACGCACAGGTAAATGGGCTCAATTCTACCGTCCCAAGGGGTCCTGTTTCCTAAAGGCCATGCCTCTATAATCTCCTCCTGCTCACTGCTTACAGCTCACCACTCACCGCTCGCCTAACTGCTGCGCTCTTGAACCCTCTCAACCAAAAGTTATCAGCAACTACTACCAGCTCCCAGTGTATCCATCAAATCAAATAAACCAAATCATGACCCTCATTTGATTTGTTTATCTAATCCCAGAGGTCGATTTGATTTGATTTGAGTTGTTTGTCAAATAGAGTCATGTTAGGAGGAGTGTTAAAGATTTTCATGGCACAAAAAGAGTCTGTCAAGACTTTATCTTTTCAACAAATTGAATAACCCTGAATATTTCAAAATAAAAGACTTTTCTGCCAAGACTTCTATTTGACTACTAATACTAAGTAATTTATCAAATTTCAAAGTCTGTTATACGTATCAAGCACGTACCCTACGCACGGTATGAGGACCAGGAGGACTCTGGTGGATTCTGCATCATTCTACACAGAAGACTCGTTGGACTGCGCATCAAAGGACTCAAGAGGATATCCTACTACTTATATCCTTCTTCTTGTACATAGATTCTAGCTCTCTGTGCTCAATAAGTCAATCCATCGACCCCTTACAGTTCTATTGCCTGTTAGGATCCCAGGGGAGTGCAAGGGCAATAGAACAGCAGGGTGTCAGTGGAATGACTTATTGAGCGCAAAGAACTAGAACCTATTTAGAGAGAAGAGAGATCTAAATACCAAGAGGCCTTTATGCCATAGAAGAACGTAGAACCTTCTCAGCAGCTGCCAGACAAGGAAGCTACCAAACAAGAGAATGATCCACCAGAGTCCTCCTGGCCCTGATACCGTACGCAGGGCTCGGCGGTCATAACATTGCCCTGGCACTCCCCTGAGATCCTAACAAAGTTTTGATTTGATTTGAAGAAAGCACGGACTTGGTTTATTTGTCAAGCAATTGATTTGGTTTATTTGACTGAATTTGATTCAAATGGCCACACTGCCAGCTCCTCCAAACACACAAAGGCATACCTGACGTTCACACTCGTCACAAGACAGCTTTGAATTCTCCACTCATTCCTCACTCTGGGACCAACTTCAACAGTTTCTTTGTCAAACATCTCTAATGTTTTCCTTTCTCAACCTCCCCACTTCTTCTTCTTCTGCTGCCATTGTAATGCAGTTTGACGATATTCATCAGCAGCAGCAGCAGATATCATATCAGCCCTTGCTAAAATTCTATCCACAATCTCAACGTGACCTCCTTTGACTGCTGCTTATAATGCAGTTTGACCATAATCACTAACAGCATCCACATCAGCCTTTGCTGCTAACAGTTTATCCACAATCTCAACATGGCCTCTTTGAGCTGCTATTTGTAATGCAGTTTGACCATACTCACCAACAGCATCCACATCAGCGTTTGCTGCTAACAGCTTATCCACAATCTCAATATAACCTTTAGAAGCTGCTGCTTGTAATGCAGTTTGACTATACTCACCAACAGCATTCACACCAGCCTTTGCTGCCAACAGTTTATCCACAATCTCAACATGGCCTCTTTGAGCTGCTATTTGTAATGCAGTTTGACCATACTCACCAACAGCATTCACATCAGCCTTTGTTGCCAACAATTTATCCACAATCTCAACATGATCTGCCTGAGCTGCTGTTTGTAATGCATTTCGACCATGCTTACCAACAGCATTCACATCAGCCTTTGCTGCTAACAGTTTATCCACAATCTTGAAATGACCTGCTTCACATGCTCCCTGAAGCACTGCAGCGAGTTCCGAGGAAGAGAAGTGCTCATAAAGCGTCAGGTTGCCTTTCATAGACATGTACCTTATGAAATACATTCTTTCTTCCACTGGAAACTTTCTGTCACTGCTCTGAATGAGGCGCAATAAAGCGCTATGATTTTCATCACAGATCCATTTTCCAACTTCGAGATCGCGACTGATGAACTGCTCATGAGTCCATGGGGTTTGGCCAAGGCTCTGCTCATCCAGCAACATTTGTGTCCATAGGCTCCAAGTCTTGGATTTACCGTGCTCGAAGTTGGTAGTGTGCAAAAGCCAGTTTTCTGATGCGTAATCAAGAAACGGATGCTCCAGCTGAAGCTTTCCCGGTAAGTTTTCGTTGTTGCCTTCACCATAGCAAGCTAATTTCTGCGCTACATCGACCTTAGTTGTCTTTTGACGACGTCTTGAAACAACTGACTGGAACAAGGATGTTGCAACTGTTGATTCCGCTCGATACCCTAGAGCTGTTTCAAGAATCGCGCTGGGTGTGATGGGAGCCTGGAATTTAGGCCGTCGGATGAGCTTTGTTTTGAAGTCGTTGAAATTGAGGTAAGTGACACAGCTCTCGCCCACTTCGAGGTCGGCGTCTTGTAGTTGGAAGTGGAACTCGCTTAGTCGTTTCTCCAAGGGTTTTTCCAGAAGATATTGCTGGACGGTATGGTGTGCGAACTGGACAACCTCATCCTCTTCGTCTACTACGATCAGGTTCTCGCACCATGCTGGCACGCGGCTCATGCCGTTCAACAGTCGCTCAGGCTTGGAATAAGGCTGGCAGGGCTCAATGGCAATGGCCTCACGAAGCTCGCCAAGAGACAGCGGTCGTTTTGCCGCAGCAACCCATCGGAAGACTTGTTTCACAGTCTTTGCGTCTCCTTTAGCGAGGATCCTAGACAATGCACGGTTAAAGGTCTCTGTTAGATCTTTAGGGAGGTTTCTTAGCGCTTGACGGATATCCTCGTCGCTATGTTGAGAGCAGATGTCGTCAATCTGGAAGGCTACCCAGAGGAACCTAGGGGAGTTAGCTTACACTGAAAGACCTTTGGATAAATGCTTGCTGACATTCCCTCTGCGCCTTGAATCAGCGCATCTTGAATCTCCTTAAGTAATTGGCGGTCTCCTATCACTAGATCCCCTCCACTAAACCTTGCATCTAGAGTTTCTCTAGTGTAAGTAGAAATATCAGACAGAGCCTCAGAAGAGCCCATCGATAGATGTTGCAGGGATGGAAACTGTTTCCTGATGTCCCTACCTATACTATCTCGGCTCGCAAGAAATAGCTTTACCTTCGAATGGCTTAATGCGATCACGGACTGAAGAACATCGAGAACAAGGTCGCGTTCGCTCTTCTCGCATTCATCCAATGCGTCGACGACTATGTAGTAGACTTGAGATAAGGCGACCTTTTTCTGCAGAAGGCTCTGGAGTTCGTCGATACCAGATAACACGCTCTGCGAAATGTCTTCTAAGGAGACCTCAATGTCTCTAGGGAGATTCGTAGCATCCAACGACTGTCGGATGATAGATCTAAGGATCACCTCTGCCTTCAGGGATATAGCTTCATCATATCGGCAGAAGAAGAATCCGATACACACATCAATGCCATTTCTGTGAAGAAACAAATGGTTGATGACGTTTGCTCTGCGGCTCGACGGTCAGTCATTGTTTGTATTCCCTCGTTATGGAAAAACTAACGTGAGTATCGTTTTCCCAGATCCGACTGGAAATAATCGTTAGTTCTACTCGAGCAAGACGCGGTTTGTGCTCACGCTTTCCAGAACACCAGAACACGGATGATCCAGGCTCGTTCATCCATCGGTTGAACTCCTGGGACTGTGTAAGCCATTGAGCTGTGTTACCATGCCGCCTCTTGCGAGCTTGCTTGAACGGCGCGATATGGTTGTAGCTAGTCAGCGAGTTGAGCAGCCGCTGTGTTCGTTTCCCTACAGTACCTTCGTAAATACGGTATTAATGAACTTTCAGCTAATGCTTACTAGCGTTCCGTTCATCCCTCTGTATCCTCCATTTTCTAGATTCCTCGTTTTCTTTGCCGGATTTAGTAATGAATGACTGCCACAATTTTCTTCCTTCGGATGCAGCTTCTCGTTCTCTGAGCTGGAGCTGTTGTTCTTGGCAATCAGCCTGCGCTTTGGCGAGCGAGACTTCCTCCTCTACGTTTTTGCTGCATCTCTTGACCTCAGCTACAAACGGTTCAAACTCCGATTGAAACGAACGCCATAATGCATTGAAGGCTTGTGATGGCCCTATATTCACGAATTAATAAGCTTTGGACTTTGGAATGAGCGTCGGTCATGAAGGTTGAACTTGCATGGTCTTTGTATCACCTGCAATGATTGCCTGCAACAACGAATGATCGATGCATGAAAATCGCAGAGCGCAGCTTGTAGCCGAGTCGAGTGTGGATATAGAATTTGATACTCAGAAAACCGTGGGCAGAGCTTGTTGAAGTTCATGAATAAGGTGGAAAGCTTGCTGAAGTAGGAGGTGAAGTTGCATGCAATCTGGGCATGTTGTTAGTCGTATGATAGAGGAATTCAAGGGAGAATGTAGCAGGATTATGCGGAGAGATTTTACAAGCATAGTAAGCTTCACACTTCCCCACACCAGGGCTGCGATGTTTGGACGCGACGAAACAAATGTGTCAATAATCGTCGAAAATTGCTGGACTGACTCAAGAATCGTATACAAGCGAGTTGCAACACCACTAGCCCGTCTTTGCGCATTCTTCTCGTCCAGTTGGGCGACAAAGGTGATGACTGCAGCGGTATCAGGGACAGCATTGATCGCTTGGAGCTGATTGCTTTGGTCTGGGCTAAGGACACCTTGAAACTCTCGGATCGCGTCTTGGAGTGATCTATCAATACTGATAGACATGTTGTGGGCGTAAGAAAACAACTGAGCTACTCATTTGCCGAGTAGACGAAGCTATCAAGCAGCGTTCAGGAACAGCACAACCATACCAACCGTACCATTGGTACAATGGTATGGTACAGCAGTTCTCGCCGTTCCAACGATATAAGACCAGATTCTCTGTACCATTTGACCGTACTAGTGCTAAATAAGGAGTGGATATGTCTTTAGGAGTGTCACTGGATGGCTTGTTAAACTTAGCACTTACGTATTGCTTCAGTTCCTCAGACGTTGCCTCGGATTCCCAGACCTGACTACGCAACTAGCCCATTCGAGAATAGCTTCTGTGGCTTGCCCACTATGCCCGTCTAAGCGCTGAGGCAACTTGACACAATCATTTCTTGACTCTGTACCAAATCTACAGGGTTGAGATCCAACAAACGCAATCCCAACCCGAAAGCCACCCAGCACTCACCGTACATATCCCGCAATTTCCATCCCTGTTCGGTGATTCCTTCTCCGAGACTCTCGAGACCTGTCCAATGCGCGACAATATCTCTTTATTCAACTACTTTGCTGCACTCGACGCCCTCGACTCTAATACCCACCGGTCTCACTTCATGATGAACCTGGGCTTCTCGGTCAACGCTATGCCCACGTGTCTTCTGTTTTTGGAAAGCCCCTTCCAACCACCATGATGGAGCTCACGCAGGGCCGCAGAAAATGGTCCATACATATATAATGTACATAGCTAAGCCAGTAGCTTTCACATATTCGAAGATTATATACATTTCGACAACCTTATTCCAGGCTCAGACCTAAGGACGTCCATCAGTACATCCCTGTGACTGAATGTGACCTAATATTAAAGAATCTTTCTCCAACTTTCAGCATTTCAAACCATTGAAAGGCAGGATGCCCACCCCAGACTAACAATCACATTTCACAGGAGCCGCGCTCGCAATCACCAGAACTACTGGTATCCGCCCTTCACAGCCAGGAAATCTGCCCCGAAAGCCTCCAGAATCGGGCATCTTAATTCGCAGGGAAATGCACTTCTTGGATCATGTATTTATTTCACGCTACTAACATCCAGCGCCCGCCTCAATACACGTAGAGCGTCTACCGCTGGCTGCCGTAGCTCTTCTGACCTCAAACATCCATCCTTCTCCTTGCCCTCCTGTCCAAGCGGACAGGGGTCCAAAAGCGGACAATCAGAAAGAAAAGCTTCAGTGGAAATGGGGGTAGGTGGAAATTCCAGCTGAAAGGGGACGATAGATGAGATGGCCGCCAGGGATATTACCGAGAGTGTTAAGGGTAGCAGTGTTTGAGATGGTGCTGGTTGGATGTTGGTGAAAGATGGGAAAGGAGATCCGGATGTTGCAATCTAATTGGTGTATTCAGTATGGAGGGGGAGGAGGCGGCGGCGGAGGATTATGATTCTTGGGCGCTTACTCTGCTCGCTGGTAATATCAAATCAAATTCACTTATGCTTACGACATGGATTTGAGATATTGGGTGGTTATTTACGGAGTTTCTAAAGTACAGCTTCGAGGAGGCACAATGTCCAGAAGTTCCAAAGATCTCTTGGTTCCGCTATGGAGAGACTAACTAGTTCCAGCCGAAATCACAGTCATTCGCTAGTATCCAGGCTTGGCCAGGGTACCCAAGTCCGCCAAAGGAAGAAAGAGGAAGAGAAGACAAAACTTTTACCACCCACCGCTCGGAACACCAGACGGCTATGGCGGACTCAGAAGAAGTCATCATGTGCTGAGACATTGCCAAAGGTGACGTTCCCAATGCCTGAATCAAGCGATAACCCCCAAAGGTCAAGCCAGCCCCCGCAATTGCACGTGTATCCATACCAGGCTATGTCAGTGTCACCAGAATACCGCTCACATTCCCCACCGGGACAGGTATTTCTGCAGGCTCGTGCACTGGATCTTCTACCAGACTCACACTTCGGTGCTGGTGCTGGTGGCGGTTCTGGCTTTGGTGTAGGCGAAGGCAACGGTGGCTCGCAATAGCAATTTTGCACAATCTTGACTTCGTCTGACCCCATACCTGGGGTGGGCTTACATTCTCCATCATCGCAATTATCGGTGCATTCTTGTTGGGTATCGTAGAAGCCGTCGTTGCAGTCGGGCGATATGCCGGGTAACGGTAAGGCTGGGGCGTACAGAAGCAGTCGTAGACGGTCTGGCCCCGGGTTGATCCTCTGCCGGGGAGTAATTTGCATTTTCCTTGGTCGCATGCATCGTAGCATCCCTGAAGAGAATGGTATATTCCGTCCTTGCACTTGGAGACTTTCCCGGCGTTGGCACGGCGCTTGATCAAGGTGGAGGGAAAGTGATTGATCTACTGATGCTGCTCGGAGCTCGCATTTGTGACTGAGATGACGTGGCAGTCATGGAGATGGATGACACAGGAGCAGTGTCAGGGGAGCTGCGGGACGAGGCAGATATTCCTGTGGATATCGAAATGCTCGAGCTATCCTGGCGCGTCGCAGTTGATGATAGACGACACCCTGCGTCTGAATCTTCACGCTTGTTTATCTGGACAGTCTGGGCTGCATTCTTCTCTTCCCAAGGAAGCATACTTTCGTAATGAAGTGTAAAATATGATTCTGGATAAACGGCGTTGAAGATCTCCCACTTGACTTTGATAGGGTCATCTGCTCCAAGTTCATTTGGCTTGATTCTTTCAGAGATGATTTCACGGTAGAATCCCTCGATGCGTGGTTTCTGCTGTTCAAGTCGACCATCCATGTATCGTTTGAACTTGTCGGCATATGTCTCAACTCGGCAAGCGTCATTGATTTTGTCGATCTCTTTGAAAGCGAGATACAGGCGGTTTTTCGTGTTCTGAAATGCCTCGACGACATCAGGGTGATGAACGAGTTGAAGTGCACCGGCAACGTATGTCAGCAAGTCAATCCAATCAGAGGGCAAGTCTGAGTCTTGCAGATGCTTGACCTTCATCTTCTCGACAGTCAGCTGTTCGGCGGTCTGGAATATTTCCCCTTTCCAGGTGTTAAGGGTGTCGTCTGTGCCGATGAAATCTGCGAAAGGGGCCCACGTCCCAGGCAATAGGGCAGTAATGGTCTGTAACCGGGTCCAGCCATCCCTCCCACCCAAAACGTAGTAGAAGCTTCCCCTTTCTCCTTTGCCTTTTGCTACGCCCTTAGAGCCATCGTTATGCTGGTTCCAGAAGGATCTGAGTTGCTCGCAGCGAGTTTGATCTGTCTCTTCGTTCATGATCTCAAGAAAAAACTCCCTTCAGGAACTTGATCTCAAAGGCGTGGTCGACATTGACGAAACTGTGCGTACGCAGAAACTCTGGTGTTTGCTTTTTCCTATTGGCGTCGACATACATCTTGCCAAAGGCATCCTTCATATTCTCATTCACTGCCGAAGGTGCCTTATTCATTCTCCAGGGGCCACAAGCTGAGACATTATACGTGCCGCGGTACGTACCTCTGTATGGCCCATTGTCTGTAGCATTATAGTATGTGCCATTGTATTCGCCATCATAGCCACTGTCGTGCGTTCCGCTATAAGTACCATTGTAGGTGCCGTGGTGGGTGCCGTTGTACGTGCCGATGTAAGTTCTGTTGTTCGCGGAGGCCTTCGCGGTGACGAACCAATACTTGGCTGCAGGGAAGCCAGGCAGATTCCCAGGATCAGGAACCGTCAAAGTTTTCACTTCATCCACTACCAGGCATTTTGGATTCTCCCTGCTAAAGTTTATCCTTCTGGAGCTGGCTCGCTTGGTAAGGGAAGTCCGACGTCGCCATCGTTTGGCTGTAGCCAAGGTCTCCTCCGAAGTTCCTGGTATCGGCTCTATACCATCATCATCTGGTTCAACATAATGTAATGGCCTGAAAGTAGGGCAGGACTCTATGAATGTAGTTCTGCTTGTGGTGAAGGTGTTCTGGGCACTGCATCCGGTAGTAGTCGAGCATACACTTGACGCTAAAGTCGTTGTCGTGCTACCTGCTTCATCCACGCCAAAACTCACGAGTTGTGAGCATGACGAAGCCGTTGTTGTGCCCTTGCAGCTTGAGGATGAGGTTGATACTTTGCTTGACGACGTATCAGATGTAGAAGTGTCTGGGCTTGAGGACAAGGTTATCTCGATACTTGATGAACAACGGATCTTGTATCGTCGGTTGTTGACGATAAATCTGTCTCAGTGTTTGGTGATGAATTAGACTTTGTACTGTCTGCTTCCGAGGAAGGAGTAATTTGGTCTGTGGGCGTTGGAGAAGAATAGGTTGGATCACCATTGTTGCCAATAGTAAGTGCTGGAAAGGGGCTTTTGAACCCCGGAAGTGGCGGTGGCCCTGGGGGATAAATCCCAGGCAAGAGTCCGAACAAGGCGACACCAAACTCGATAGCTGGAGGGCAGAAAAAGCAATGTGGATTCAAAACAGAAACCCGTGCTGGTTTATGGTCAGACCCAGTAGTCTCAATATGCCCATCCGTGGTAACGCTTGGTACTTCTCCAGTGCTAACAGGTGGGAAGTTTGTGTACATCGTAAGGTCAGGAGCTTTCGTTGAACTTTCTATAGCCGAGGAAGTGGGCGAAGCAGTCATCGCTGTCTCGCCAATCTGACTAGTAGAAGTCGTCGGAGTTGAAGCAGCAGCTGGCGAGGTTTTTTCTGAGGACACTGAAACCTCACTTAGCGGACCAGAGGGAGTGGTCACTATCGGATTGCTAGCGCTAGAACGAGTTGCAGAAGTGGACACTGATGTCCCACTTTGCTGGCCGAAAGATGTACTCACTGTTGAGATCTCCGTGCTTGGGCTGGCATCCATTGAAGTCGTCAGAGCTGGGATTACCGTCGTAGTGAGCTCGGTGTCTGATGAAAGCGTGATGCTTAGAGCTGTCGTGTTCGTAGCAGTGGAATTTCCAGAACTAGGAGAAATATGACTGCTCGTTGAAGTGATGTTGAGAGACGTAACAGTGCTGTTACCTGACTTGATGGTAACAGGTATAGCCTCTGTAGTAACACTAGGCGTTAAGTTACTGCTCAATCCTCCAGAGGTGATATTGATGCTGGTATTGGAGCTCCCTGCTTTTCCATATGAGGGGACGCCAGCCAGCACAGTAGGAGCAATAGCAGGAAACTTGTTTGAACCTGGGCCATTAGGTGCTCTCGTGATCTCAGTGAATTGATTACTAGCAGTTGAAGCTCGAGAAAAGTCAGTATTCTCATGGTCATAATTGTTCAAGAAACTGCGCAACATACTGCTGAGGGTAAGGTGGCCTTCACTTGAGATGCACAAGAAAATCAGCAGCACAATCATAGCCCAGTGACTAAGGAGAGGCATTGTGGATGAGGATGAAGAACAAAAAGTGGTAATATAATAGATGGGTGGAACTGAATGTAACAAGCTGCTCAACAAAGTAGGGTGTGGGTTACTGCCGAGCAAGGAGCGGCTACGCTGAAGTGACTGACTGAAATATCTGTAGGAAACACACAAGTGGTAGCTGAACATAGTGCCTTCAGAGTAGGAAACACTAGTTGGGGAGCAAAGCAATCCCAGAGGACATGATGAGCAATGCACCAACAAGACTTATGTAGGGGAGAGCACATATTTACAACAGAAAATCTACTTTTGACCTCAATCTCGCCTAGCCCAAGTATGAAGATTTCTCTGTCTCAGGACGTGGTTTGAATTGAAGCATAGCCTGTCATGATACTGCAAAGACGAGAACAAAAATAGGTCAGTCGTTGATTCAGGTACCTGAGGAGGATATTTATCTGGATTTTGGCTGTAGCAGCATGACCTACAGATCTCGATCTGGTTAGTCAACATGTTGTGGGAGATCTGGAGCGGGTCTGCTCGTAATTTCAGCGTGATGGAGAAAATGGCCCCAAATTCTCCAGAATTTGACTTGAAGTTATTTATGCGGATCAGTTGAGCCTCACACGTGACTGTTTTCAGCCCTACTACGTAGAGAGTATTCATTATTGTAATCAACCAAAATTACTTAGTGAATGTAAATCTTCCACTGTAGATACTCGACCTTGACAAGGACGCTGAGGCGATCTTCATTGTTATCAGCAAATACTTCCATGCACTGCCATAATGATGTAGCACAAGTGACTACGAAGGTAATATTCTTCTTTTTATACATGTTGATACTGATAGCAGCAAATGTGTTCTCTGACCCTTGTTGTCTACTTTTCCCATGCCAGCCCACAGCCAACAATAAAAGGACTTGTCCTGATTGTCCATACTTTGGCCTGCTATGCTCCTCTGGTGAACGTGAGTACATCTGTGCTAATATCATGCTACGAATGATTTTACAAATCCTCTGCTTTGACTCCCATTGGTAGCTTGATTCATTTCTATCTCCCACAAACTTACCTGCTTGAATATATTTGGCAGCGCGACATCCCTTAATAGAAGTCATTACAGCAGTCAGACTTTACTTCGAAATTTACAGTACATGCAGGCGCCATGCCTTCATTACAAAATCTGCCGCCGGAATTGCTAGAGGTGCTGGCCTCTTACCTTGCTCAAGCAGATCTGGCTGCAATGGCCCAAACTTGTACGCATATCAACAAAGCTTGCATTCCCACCCCTGTATAAAGTCATCGTCCTAGATGATGAAGGGTGCGAGAAACTTGCAGACTGTCTTGTGCTCCGAATCGATCTCGCTCAACTCGTTCGAAGCATCTCACTCGAACACGAAATACTGTATGCCGATCCTTGTGCAGATGAACTCCTTCCGTTGCTGCCAAATCTCCAACATCTCAGTTTCTTTGCACATGTCATGGATTTTTTCGATCGAGGTCATGAAGAAGACTACAATGCGCTTGGCCTAGGCTTGTGGTGGCCGGGCCCGGATGACCGAATACCGAGTTGTGTCCGAAAGGCTGCATCTCGCATTGACACTTGGTTACCCGCTCTGAAGACATGTAAGTTTAAACCCTGCACAGAAAACAACGACCAAAGATCTGACCATGAGGGCGATTGCTTGAAATTTAACAGCCCTGTAGGTTGGGGGAATGACGCTGCAACCTTAGAAGGAGGCACCTGTGTTCGCAAACAAGCGTGACAACTGAGGCTAAATCATGGAATTAGGCACATTGGAGTTCTTCGACGCTTCTCCACTATGGAATCTCGAACGCAAAGCAGTACTGTTCCTCCATCCTACATTGGACTCACTCGTAGTACATCACGCATATTATGAACGCGATCTTCTCGATCCTCCCGTAGAAGACTCGCACGCCCCGGTAGAATACTGGAGAAGTCCGATCTTTGACGCAGACCTTGGTCCTGGGTCGACAAGTTTGAAAACGCTGAGATTTTTCCTATGCGAGATTGATCCAGCAGCTCTTATCAATATTTTGAGCTTTCCCCGTGACTTGGAGCATCTCACTTTGACATATCCAGACTATGCAAGCCATCGGGTTAGAGTGGATCCTGCGCCTATTGATGCTGTTTGCATAGCCCTGGAGCAGCAGAAACATTCCCTGATAAGCTTGAATGTCCACGGCCTCAACCGATATTACCCCAAACCAGAATTTGATACTTTCAAGCGGTTGAAGGAACTGGACATAGATTTGGACATGTTGTGTGGTGCATGGGATGAGGACAGCTCAGTCCTAACTGATGATCATGAGCCGTCATTTGGACTTGACAAATTTTTCCCTCCAAGTCTGGAAAGGTTGACCGTTCGATATCGGCTGCTCAGAGGCGAAAGACGTCAAGGTGTTTACAGATTCGAGTGCCTTGAGAAATGTCTCGCGAATCAGAATAGAATATTGGTCAGTTTGCAGACATTGGTTTTGGTTGAAGAGAAGTACGTGGATAGAATCTATGGTTCATTGCAAGATGTTGGTGAGGAGATGAGGAAGCAAATCGCGAGAATACGGGAGCGCCTCATATGCAACGGAATCGACATGTTGCAGGAAACAGAGTTGTTAGAGGCTGACCCATATCCCCCAAGACTCCGTGACCTAATGGGATATCATGGTAACAAGACTTATCGGGAAAGCTATGAACGGCGATGGGGCCCTATTCCAGAAGGACAGCCTTGAACAAATATTTTCATGGCGAAGCAATCAGTCTCAGTGGTTTGGGACTGGTGGAAAGACTTCGGAATGTTCTGCTGCGAGTAGTAATATGGGGTGCCAATCCGCAAATACTGTACTGCAGTGCCATAAGCGAACATGGTCTTGGCTTCAGCCCCTGTCAGTTTCAAGTTGTATGCCACCAAGTTCCCCGCATCTCGTCAATGCATAAATACTGATACTTGGTTGCAGCGAGAGGATCAAGACCAGCTGCGCTTTTTCGTATTCCCATTGTGGGACTGTATCGGCTGGCATAGTCGCTTGCACTTCTCGCTTTCAACAGCTCATACGAACTCCAGCCAAGAGCAGTACTAGAGCTACAATGCAAACCAAACATTTCATCAATGACCCTACCCACCTTGTGAATACAGCACTTCATTCTCTAACCATAACTAATCCTTCTCTTGCTTTTGACTCTTCTAACAAGATCATATACCGACGACGACCGAAAGATGGCTTTGCTTCTCCCAAAGTGTCTATCATATCAGGTGGTGGCTCGGGCCATGAACCAGCGTTTGCTGGATTCGTCGGCAAAGGACTGCTGACAGCCTCAGTAGCAGGAACAATCTTTGCCTCGCCGTCTGCTGAGCAGGTCCGACGAGCAATCTTAACTAGAGTACCAACGGAGAAGGGTGTGCTAGTCATCACCATGAATTACACTGGAGATGTTCTGAACTTCGGGATGGCAGCCGAAAAAGCTAAAGCTGCCGGCATTGAGACAGAGTTCTTTGCTATCGCTGATGATGTAGGAGTAGGTCGTGAGAAGGGTGGCAAGGTTGGTCGACGAGGGATTGGTGGAGGCATACTCGTGCTGAAGATGTGTGGTGCTCTTGCAGAACTTGGAGGAAGTCTTCCTAACGTGTACAACCTAGCCAAACAAGCATCCTCGAGTATCGTCTCAGTTGGCGCCTCGCTAGAGCATGTCCACGTCCCGGGCCGCGCCATCCCAGACGCATCCTCCGATGAGAATATTCCACAAGAAGAGGTAGAAGTCGGAATGGGCATCCACAACGAACCAGGCAGTCACCGCGTCTCCGCTACTCTTCCAGAGCTGATCAAGATCATGCTAGCCCAAATGCTTGACCCAGATGACAAAGACCGAGCGTTTGTCTCCATCTCCGAATCCGACAAAGTGGTGCTCTTTATCAACAACCTTGGTGGCGTTAGCATGCTCGAGCTCGGTGGCATAACGGCCGAAGTCACTCTCCAACTCCAGAAGGACTACAAGCTCACCCCGGTCCGGACCATTAGCGGCGCTTTCCTCACTTCTCTAAATGGCATGGGCTTTTCAGCTAGCATCCTCAAACTCAGCGACATAGGCTTCGGCTCTGGTAAATCTATGCTTGATCTCCTTGATTACCCGGCCGAAGCCATTGGCTGGGCCGCGCCAATCCAACCCTCTACCTGGAATGCAGACAACGATCACACCATGGACGACAAACCCGCTGCCACCCCTTCAACATCCAAATCCTCGGAGCTAACTCTCGACCCAAATCTCGCCTCCAAAGTCCTGACCACGGGCCTCGAGAAAATGATAGCATGCGAACCAGACGTTACCCACTACGACACCATAGTTGGCGACGGCGATTGCGGTATTGGCCTTAAACGGGGCGCGGAAGCCGTCGTCTCAGAGCTAAAGAAAGGCGACCTTTCCACCGACGCAGTCGCCTTCGTGAACAAGATCGTCTCCGTGGTGGAAAACAGCATGGATGGCACATCAGGCGCCATCTACGCCATCTTCCTCAACGCCCTTGCTCACGGCCTGCGCGAGCAGGACACTGGATCGAAGCAAGAAGTGAATGCAAAGGCCTGGACAGCGGCGCTCAAATCTAGCGTTGCGGCTCTGGGGAAATATACGCCTGCGCAGCCAGGGGATAGGACACTGATGGATGTGCTGATACCGTTTGTGAAGACCTTGGGGGAGAGTGGGGATGTGAAGAAAGCAGCGGAGGCGGCGGCCAAAGGTGCAGAGGAGACGAAGGGCATGAAGGCTAGTCTGGGGAGGGCGGTTTATGTGGGTGGCGAGAGCGAATGGGTGGGGAAGATTCCGGATCCGGGGGCTTGGGGGTTAAAGGAATTTTTGGAGGGCTTGGCTGGGGCTTGTTAAGCGGATAAACTGGGGGGTTAGTCTAAGATTTAGAAGGGAAGGAGGAGAGAACGGGATTAGGCAGCAGACCCATTGGAAAGAGATGAGGTAGCCAAGTATCAAAAAAGTAACTGCCTTTCCTCCTTTCTATTTTTTCCCTCTATGCCGCTCACCTAGGAAGCAGCCTGCAGCCGCTGAAATTTCTGATGCCTTCAACCCGATGTACAGTCTTTGAACGTCCCTTTGACTGGCTCGGCCATTGTGAGCCTGATCAATAGCGCCATTTTGCGGTGCCTGGGGCTTGTGGTCCAAGCCTTCTTCTTTCCCTAGGAGCATATGGCGCTAGCATGTCCAAATCTCTGTTCTCATACAGTCTCTCAACTCAATAATACCAGAATGACACTGTCACCTCTCAAGAACATCTTGCTGATGAAACGATCCTTGTTAACACCCTTACTACCTGGTTTGTTTCCCTTCTCTGTCCACATCTCCTTCACGTTCTCTAACACCATGTTGCAATGTCGATCAAAGGCTTTGACTCGAGCAAGCAGCTTCCGATTATTACGGCATGATATAAGCACTTGCGTGTGAGTGCGGGTGGCAGTTTGAAGAATCGAGAGTGGTCCCGTAGATAGTTCGTGAGATTCAAGTAATAATATTTCATATTCCCTATGATTCAGGTTAGTTGAGCAAGGACTTCATTTTGTTAGGTATAAGGTCTGTCCTTCTAGCATGTTGTCGTGCAATATGAAAGGACACGTCTTGGCAGAAGTGGCATTTGTGGTTGTTGGGGAGCAATAGGGAGGGCGGAGCGGCGGGACGGAAAAGGTGGATTTGCAGTGTAGATAGTGGCGGAGTGCGCAGCAATCACGGCCAGGGTGATAGTACTGGCGTAAGGGAAGCAACATCGAGAAGGGGATGAAGCGGGGTAAAGGATCACGTACGTGAGCTCGCTTCTCGGCTTGTTCAGCAAATCCCTATTAGCTGGTCAGTGGGAGGACCAAAGCTGTCGCAGAATGTGAAATAGGCATGTATAAGCGAGACAGGGATATGAGTCATGGTGTATGAGAGGGCCACATACTGAATCTTTGCGTCGGCCATGATGGCTGGAATACTTAAAGGTCCCAAATGCCCACAGAATTGTTGTCTAATCTGTTCAGATACGGAAAAAAACAGAGCAGGCCACAGCTTACATGGTCGGAGTTTTACTCCTCATAGCTCCGACGCTAAGAGACTCTAAGAGGCAGTAGCCGAACCTTGGCATGGTTCATGTGTGCCAAGATCGCTAGCTTGAGCCAATCAGGTTAAGTGCTTCACGAAGCTCAGAACGCGTCTCAGGTACCGGGAATCTCGCAGCGCCAGCCATCCTATCTTATCCATATTCACGCCGGCTTTGACATTCTGCTATATTAAAGCAAAGCGCATCTGTGATTCACGGTGACCTTTCATTGTGAGGATCAATTCCTTCCCTAAGCGACCCTCAATTCACCCGTCAATAAACCGAATCACCGCCTGCGCTGTATCCCGTCGCTCTCATCACACAGGCATCTCGCAAAGCTGCAAACTGCACAACTAATTGTACAACAAATAGGTGTTTATTGTAGCAAGGAACACTCAGTTAGACATGATTCTCAGTCGTATTGCAGCCCTACATTCACACACAAATATTGATCTTTAACCGATCTCTCCTACAACCTTCTACAGAAATCGGTTTACCCTGCAAACCTTCTCATTTGAACCGTTTCCTCATACAACACCTACGTCCAACACGATCCTCCAAGTAACAGTCTCTTCACGACTCTTATCAAGATGGCGTCCCCAACGGATAACGTGTCAACAAGAATGATGAGGTTAAAGGTTCTTTACACCTTTGACGTGGAAAGCAAAAATAATTGCCTTGCAAGATGGCCGAATGTTTTGGAGGTTCAAACGGCGTTTATTGATGATTTGACGCAGATTGGCGTTATTGATCTCAAGACTTGCCTTCAAGCTCTCACTTCTTCCAGTCCCGAGCTGTTGTCTCAACATGCCATCGACTACACTATCTATGCATTTGATTACTCAGAAGAAGGTACTCCGCTATCCGGTCAGGGCTTATTGTCTACGATCTTCAACCCAAACTCCCAGAACAATCTGACAGATACAACATCCAAAGTCATTACAGGGCGTGTCACCAAGAATGTGCTGGGGTTGTTTTCAGGCAGTGGCCAAGAAACACTTGAAGTCAAGTTGAGGCTTCTACCGGTCACAATGCAAGCACAGTCTAGTAGTGTGTTTGGACAGTCAGGCCATCATGATTATAGTGGAATTAATCAGCAATTTGGTGAGGCTAATGATTGGCCAAATCTGCTCTCACATGAGAATGGACCGATATTCACACAGCAATCTTCAGGTCTGGGATCTCCAGTAGACAGGACTGGAATGGAGCACATGCAGAGAATGCTGCACGAAGGAAGTGTCCCCAGGGAAAACCCCACAAATCGATCATCCGAATCTCTTCAAATATCGTCCAATTCACAGCAAGGAAGCCGACCTGGGACGCCAGGTCAAACCCAGCCTTTCCATCCACCTGCTCGTCCGTCTTTTGGCCAAGCTTCGAGACCTAGCTCACGAGCTTCAGTCAGAGCCGTTTCGCAACCTACTCATCACAAGCGAAGAGAATCATTCAACTCTGGCTATTACAGTGGCGATGAAGTTCAGGTAGAAGAAGGTCCAATCAGAAAGCGCGCGAAAATCACGCCAGTTGGAGCACCAAGCAGATCAGATTTAAATATCGAGCGTCAACCAGAATCGCTTCGAATGGCTGCCAGCACTGCTTCCTCTGTTCGCGGACATCGACCTATTGCTATCAATTCTGCCCTTAGTAACCTACAAGGTAACCACCTTGCAGAAGAACCTGTAAGACCGCCAACACCAATTCCAGGGCCTCATAATTCAGGCAATCGCAGGCAGCAAAATCAAGGAAGTGGTCTTCGTCGAGGCCCACAGCAACATCTGCAAGCTGATATCTCTTATCAAGGTCAATCAGTTACCAATACTGTTGATGCTTCGGCAACATCTCCGGAATTCACCATGGGTCCTAGCGTTTCGAGCACACCAGCAGATATTCCGTCTTCACCACCTGTGATAACAAACTACGGCTCCTTGCCAACCAGTCCTGTGTTGCCTCGCCCGCCTCCTCCCGCTGAGCAGCAAGATTCAGGCTTCATGGATGAAATTGGTGATTTGATAGATGGCAACAAGAACTTTCTGTGGAACGATGATCTGACGGATGTAGGCCGCAACGAATTCCAGCTCCAGCCGCCAATTGAAGCAAATGCGGCTACTGAGATGCACAATAATTTCACACCCGTATCTGATAGGGGCGGATATCTTGATGACGAATTGACAAACAGCCTACTTCCCCCTCGGCCAAAACCTTCGAATCAAACGGCTTCCTCCAAGCGACCATTATCACGCGCACAGACAACAAGACCAGCAATTCGGCCTGGGATGTCATCGCCAAAGCTGGCTCCAGCGCCTTACCCAAGAGCTCGTCAACTAGAAGAAGAGATGGCTGTCCAACCCGCTTTGCCTCCTGTTGCAGCAAGTGACCCACTGGGGCGCCAACTACAACGGTCCACTACTTGGGCGGGAGATATGAGCGACGCACCTATGTCCGACGCCCCCGTAGGTGAAGGGGGCAGAGCGAAATCCGGATCAAAGAAGAAAGTTGGTAGAGAGCAGACAAAGGCACGTTTAGAGCACGCATTAGCACAGAATGAGATGCCACCATACTGTGACAACTGTGGCACCATTGATACGCCGGCCTGGAGAAGGGTATTTGCGAGGACTTTGCCAGGACACTTATATGAAACTTTTGAAATGTGGCCGGAGACCCAGGGTGCTTATGTTTGGAAGCAAATTGAGGAGAAAGCTGCAGATGGCACAGTCATAAAATTCAGGGCCTACAAGCTCTCGAAGAGCCCCGAAGATAAGGGTGAAGAATGGATCAATGTCACCTTGTGCAATCGTGAGTACAATGGGAAACTGCCGCAGATGTACCAACTAACAGACCATAGCTTGCGGCCTCTGGTTCCATAAAAACAAATGCATGCGCCCTGCAGAGAAGTGGACAAGGAATCCAAAAGATCCGAACCAGAAGAAGAAGCGAGCTTATCGACCAAAGAGCAAGCGTGTAGCTGCTAAGAAGGGACAAGAAGATGACTCAAAGAGTGATGCTCCAGACCAAGGCAGCGAAGGCTCTTCTCCGGCAGATGGAGCTACTGAGGCCGATATGGAGAACGAGGACGAGCGTCAGAGGCCTGACATTGGGACGGTGGAGCCAGAGCTATTGCCTGTGCATCAACGTGCAACAACTGCTGAGCCCATGATGACTGATGGGAAGGCTGCCTCTGTACATCATCTTCCGGCTGGGAGTGAAACACGAGCTTTCCAATCTAGTCCCGTGCGCAATGTGGGCTCGCACTCGCACGGCCAGCCAGTCGAAACTGACCAAACACCAAAACCTCTCTGCCGACAGCTATTTCCATCGCCTTTCAATAAGACTCCCACTAAATCCCAGGCCGCCCCTTCTGGAAACGACACAATTACTCAGCCACTGTCTGAATTACCCAACTTCTACCGCCGCAGTCCACGTCTTAACAAATCCGCAGATGTCCTTGGTAACCACCCCAAGACTCCTGAGAAGGAAAATCGAGTCTCTGGACCAACACACGATGATGATTTGAACGATCTGTTCAATGACGAAGAAGATAGCTTCTTGATTCCACCACAAACACCCACACCGACTCGGCGTTCTGACCGGCTGTTACTGAAGACCCCTAGCAAGACCCCGTCTGGCAGGAATCCTCGGACTCCCGGAGCTCACACGTCTCCTAATGCACATCGAGCGTCGCAAGAGATGAGGACGCCCAAGAAGGACTTTATCATGGGCTCGAACAGGACTCTAGAAGAAATGACGCCTTTCACACGTTTGATTCATTTCGAATTGATAAAGGAGCATACCGCGAAGACAAAGACTACAGATGAGCCGGCCCCAAGAGCTTCTGAGAATCCGCCAGCTCAGCATTCAGATCTTGACTTTCCCGATCTACCAGATCTCGGAGCCATCTCACCTTCGTCACGACCGTTTGATTCCATGCATGACCTAGATCTGTCCAGTTTCAACACGAGCTTTCCAGATATCTTTCAGACAAATATTCAAGGAAGCGGCAGCTCGCCACCTAACGGTTACTATAATTACCTCAACTCTGATTTCCTGGATCCTGCATTGGCGAACGGCCAGTGGGATGGAGCCGGAGAAATGGATGTGCAGACCGGATCGAATGGGGCTTCGCTTGTAGTGCAGGGGACAACTGGTTTGAGGCGTAGTCCGAGGAAGAACAAGTCAGGATGAGCAAGGCGGATGGAAAGCGTCCAGCTCGCGAGAGACACGTGAACAATAACGAACAAAGGCACCGTCCTTCGGTCACTCGATCACAAGAACAGGAGTATGGAAGTTTCGTTGAGCATGGTCATACGTGGGTCCTTTCTAGTTAGACCGAAGTGGTTGGGCATTCGCCTCGTTGAATAATAGGTCTGGTTGCAGGGAAAATTATGCAGGCAGCCAAATTGGGCTTACATATATCATGTAACCAGATTCTAGAGGTTTCACTACTTAGGTGACCCAGCGACAGGCACAAGTCTAGCACAGCTATTTGAGCCTAGAAATCGAAGATAGGTTCAAAATGTCCATCGTACAGCAGTGCGCTTGCTCTGCTTTTTGTGCCGGTTTGCCGTCTCCCGGAGGAGAAATATTCCTCACCAAGCCATCTCATCTAGCATTTTCACGTGCCAACACATTGTCATTCCATCCACACATGCGAATTCAGCCCCTTCCCCTTTTCTCCACCTCCATCACTCCCATCCCCCATAGACTCAAAACCCACCCATGCCCACATTCATACCCCCATCCACGCCCCCTCCACCCCCCGCAGCCTCATAAAAGATCTCCTTGAACCTCAGATCCACCGCCACCCCCTCCGGGCTCCGGCTCGGCCACTCCGTCGTCCCCAGCACACGCACCCCCAGCCCCTGCCCACCTTCGAGGTTGATCACCTTGCCGATGATCTCGTAGAGCGAGTGCAGCGAGAGGTGTGAATCCCTAGAAGAGGAAGCGTGCATTAGTTAATTAGTTGGTTAAGACGCGGTAGGCTGGCGAGGGGAGTGGGGTTTTCTTTCTGGGAGGGGAGGGATATGATAGGGTTTTTTGGAGAGATGTTGGTTCTGGCCCCCCTTACCGGTTCAGGATGAGGGTGACGGTTTCTTGGTTGCAGGATTCCAGCACCGCCTGGTCGCCGCGCAGCGAGGTGATGTGGCCCAGGAGTCGGATGGTGGAGATGCTCGGGTGCGCGGAGGGGGCGAAGGCGTGCAGATGCGAGGGGAGGATGCGTGGCGTGGGGAACGACATTGTGCGCGCTGGATGGTCTGGTGTTATTTTGCTTCTGGGCGCGCGAAGATGATGTTGAGGCGGATGTGGAGTCGTGTACTACTACGTAGGAGTGTGAGCTTTGAGCTTGACGCGTAAAGTGCTCTGGTTTTGGGGGCGCGTGTTCACGTGATGGTTGGAGCTTGGCATCAATATTACGGAGTATTCCGTACTACTAGTAGTACACATTTTGTTCTTCCAAAACAGAGCCGGATGAAGATTTAGCCCTTGACAATGAATCACCCGCCATGGACAGACATGGCCTCGCTGAATGGCGGGAACAGCGTGGGCACATGGGAGGTATATCCGGGGTTTGTGATAAGGGCCTCGAGATGCACTCTCGCCCAGTGCCCTGTTCAAAGCAGAGTTTATCTGCTATCAAGTTGCTCCGTATTTCTTGCTTAGAGCGACATTCCTTTCCATGTGTCTACTATGTTCGTCATGACATACCTACCCTACTTGTTTCTGTGGAGCCATTACAGACATTTTTTAATTCCCATTCCAAGACAGCGCGTCAGACAAGATGCCCTCCTACCGCCCCCGCAGTCGCTTCAATGTCCCTAGGTAGAGCCTTCGCCGGCCATCGTTTGGACCATAACATTGCTTGCGCCGCCCAGAACGGCTTCGCAGGCATCGAGGTCTTTTACGAGGATCTTGACTATCTCGCCAAAGAACTGGGTCATAGCTCGGGAGACTCTACGCCTTCGGAAGATCAACTTCTAGCCGCTTCTTGCTTGTTGAAGGAGATGTGTCAGACTAATGGGCTCGAGATCCTCGGAGTACAGCCTTTTCTTTTCTATGAAAGACTGGTTGATCGAAAGGAGCACACGCGGATGGTCGAGAAGATGCAGCCGTGTTTCAAGATAGCTAAGGCATCGGGGATAGACATCATCCACATACCTACGCAGTTCGTCGGGATGAAAGCGTGACCGGAGATATGGATGTCATTGTTCAGGATATGGACAGTGTGTCCATCAAATCAAATTAGTCAAACAAATCAAATCATATCGGTGCTTTCGTCAAAGCAAATCGGCCTCCGTAGATTTGATCAATTAGTCAAACTGAAGTCTTGACAGAAAAGTCTCTTATGTTGAAATATTTATGGATATTTTTCCATAGGATAATAATAGTCTTGGCGGACACTCGATCTGGACGAGAATTCAAGTTTATCCCTAGAGATATGTTGCTTACTGAGATTTGACTCGGTTTGACAAATCAGCCAAACAAAGCAAATCACGGCTTTTGATTAGATAGTAATCAAAGCAAACCAGGGCCTCGATTTGCTCTGATGGATACCCTGATGGTTGAGGTTGCCAACCTTAGTCTGAGAGAGGATCCACCCATCAAGTTTGCATATTAAAAATCTGGCCTGGGGCGCTTTCATCGACGATTGGGAAGATCTATGGGAAGTGGTAAGGCGAGTTGATCGATGGAATTTTGGAAGGTGTCTGAATACATTCAACATTGTGGGGAGGGTCTGGGGAGACAAGGCTTCGGAAGACGGCACAAATGGTCCTGATTCCGATAGAGATCTGAAAGCCAGTCTTTCGGCATTGGTCAAGAGTATCGACATCAAAAAGGTGTGTTATGTGCAGGTTGTCGGTGCTGAAAGACTGTCAAGTCCTCTCGTGAAGGGGCATGAATGGTATTTTGAAGGTCAACCTGCAAGGATGAGTTAGAGCAGAAATGCCCGCCTGTTCTATGGCGAAGAGGATCTGGGCCAGTATCTCCCCATTGATAGAGCTCTTCGAGTGCTCCTGGACCCTGTGGACAAGGGAGGGCTGGGTCAGCAGGGAGCCTTTTTCACGCACTATGGCAGAGACACATAGGACGATGCCAGATGAGCATGCCAGGAGAGCCGGAGAATCGTGGGAAAGGTTATCAAAGGATCTTGATTTGTAACGGAAATCCTGTAGGCCAACAATCCACATCGCAGCATTCAAGCATCATAGTCTTGCTCACCGTACGATATCCGGGTAACGGAGACCGTCAATGAAAGTGTCACTTTTCGGCGGACTAGGTGTCACCATGCTCATAAGCTGGCAGTCCACAAATTTTGCGATGAACAGAGCTTTCACACAAGACGAATTGGCGCGATCAACACCTTGCTCGTGGAAAATGCTTCCGGGCGAAGGAGGACCATTGGGGATGATACTGACGTGTCAGGCTTGTATGCTCTGATCAACCAATATGCGGTGACAATCAAGAGTGCTCCTTCAGTCGGACTTGTGATCGGAGCTAATGGTGCCTCAAGAGCTGCATTGTACTCGATATGACAAGCGGGCATTCGACGGAGTTGCATTGTCAATCGTACTAATGCCAAGGCCGAGATAATAGTAGGGGACCTTCAAGATGTTTTCCACATTGAGGTCGTCTCAGATCTCAAAAGCCTGCCTGAGGCACCGGAGATTCTTGAATTACTCCGGCGGACAATACAACGGACGAAGTCTTCACCTCGATCTCTCCAGATATCAAGAGGAAGGGGGGGTGTATTGACATGGCATACAAGCCCTGCAACACGTCCCTGCTAATGTTGGCCAAGAGACACGCACGTTGGAAGACAATTCTCGGAGTTGAGTTGCTGCTTTATTAGACTTCCGATCAATCAAGGCTTCGGACAGAAGGGTCGGCTCCACAAAAAGCGATGCAGCAGGCTGTTGATGAGCATGACTGCTGAAGCGAGGCTGGAAACTGGGATGCAAGGCTATGAGGAAACAGGGGAAGCCGAGGTGACGACTAAGTGCGGACTGGATGGAAAGTAACAGTCATAAGAAATCCAAAAGTGATCAGCGGAGACTCTGTGTGCACCAAGCGCTCACCAAAACTCCAAAGAAATCTGTGCGACCTTGAACGACCAGCTCTTGCTGCCTAGCCAGTCACTCTGTCACACTGCAAGGGAACGCCGGTCGAGTGATACACCAGCAAACCTGACACTGCGAGCAACTAACTAACAGCTTTGACCTTGCCAATATTGGGGAAGAGACTACCTTGCCGCGGAATATCGCAGCTGGACATCGGGCGCGCAAGATCATCTCAAGAACATCTTTTCGTGGTCAAGCACCTTCGGAATTAGGATGTGCTGCGACAATGATGACTGACTAGTTCAGTGAAAGCAACTCCGGCTTTTTGATCGGCGTGCTGGTCCTCTCGTCGCATCCTAGTCTTGTCCGTTGACTTCGTTGCTGCATGGTACCGTATCACATTTCTGGTAGAGGAGATCCGATACGCTCTCAAAGGTGGATGATCTTCGAACCTCTTCTGACAAACCTCGAATTCGGGTTGACCGTACATGGTGAATGCAGGAGCTATTAGTCAAGACGCCCTTGTTGGTAAGAGTAATCCCTCGGAGCACGTCATGTGTGCTATCACAGCGTTTCGGTCGTACATGCCCAAACGTGGATACAAGGAACTCCAAAGCCATACGAGGACGCGGACATACGTCCGCAAGTCACCGATGCTGTTTTGCAATATGTCCGTAATGTCGACGTTGATCTTTCTTCTCAAGCAGGACTTTACGAAAATCTCCCCTCAGATATATCCGCCCGACTAATCAGAAGCCCGTCTCCCTTCAACCCTGATCAATCAGATTGCTTCTCATTCGCAGGAACACTCGTTTGTCGAATTGGGAAAGCAACACAACATACCTGACTATCGAAACGATCCAGGCTGTCTATCTCGTACCAGTGCTGCAGCCAGTAGCGAGTCATCTATGCTTGAGTTCGGCAAGGTTGAATATGAAGCTCGATAGAGAATTTGGAGTCCGCCACCTTCTCATGCAGCTTGACGCTAGGAGACTGCTGGTCATGCATTGGGCTGATACTAACACTGCACGTCGTTGTGGCAGGTCTCGTTGGTAAGCCCAGAGACAATTTCAGCTGTGATTTTTTAGCTACAATGTAATGGCTGTAAACAAGGTCTAGATGCAACATATGCTCTTCCTGGATGGCTCCTTGCATTCAGAGACATTGGTAGTCGAAAAGAGAGCCTAGTGGACGAGAGACAAGGGTTCGCAGATAAAGCTAGTAATTCTTATGCAGAAGAGACAGAAATCGCTGCCGCGGGTCCGGATGGAAATTGCAGCTCCTGTCAGTCATCCACGGAACCGTGCCGAACTTACGTAGTATTTGCGGATTGGCTAGACTGTGAATTGCCGGTCACGATCCTTGAGGATTACATGAGTAATGCAGATCTGTGCGTAATCTTAGAGATCTGCTGCCCTTCGTCTTCGGGATGAAACCTTATGCAAGTGCCTGGGTTGTAAGGGTATGGGATGTTGACCGCGTTTCGGAGTCCCAAGATGTAACTGGTTTTGACATTGTGGACATCCGTGGGAGGGACCGAAGGACTCTCACAAGACCACTATAATGTTGACAGACTGGTGGACCAGGCGAATGCAGTTTGCACAGTCACTGATCCTGGCCATTCAATTGCACCAGCCGCCGAACGATGCCAATCACGCTATCCTCCACAGAGTATGTACTAGGCTGGTCAATCCTTTGGCGCAGGACATCATCTAATAATGCTCGTAGGCGTGACACAAGAACGCCAATACGAGCCCACCCACGGAGCCGAAGCCACTGATCTACCAACAAACCATTCCCATGTGTGTCCACAGCGATGGGCCCGCCGAAGAGCAACAAACCATATGCATTGAAGGCTGCAAAGTATCAGCGTGAGCAACCAAGCCGACGTAGGGAAAGATGAGCTTACGAGTCAGATCACGAATGAAGGTCCTGCTGGTAGCCATTTTCGAGAAGTAGCTTACGTACGAACCGGAGCCAGAAAACGTCTGCGTGCCAAACAGGATGGAGCTTGGGTGGACGAAGACTCTGCCGTTGTCTTGGCTGTAGTACTTGATTGTCTTCGCCTCAGGGTCCACTTCTACAGCTCCAGCCATCGAAGCGAAGTACTTCTTATCCGGGAGTTCGATCTTGGCTATTTGCGGGTTCAGGGCGCCTGCGATAAGCGCACGTAGTAACATGAAGTTGGTATTGTCTCTGTTCAAAGTTTTGTATACGGCTTCGGACTTGCCATACTCCAACGGTACTATACTAACATCTTTGAGGGAGGATAAAAGCTGCGACCTCGTGGAGGAGATATCACGGAGAGTCTGTGCTGATAGAAACCTCTCAGAGCACCACTCTCTCACAGCTTTAGAACTGGACGACTGTGATCTTTCTGACCACTCGGTAAAGGCTTTCAGATCCAGCAAGATATCACCGTGGTCAGCCGAGAAGGTTGCTCTGGCAATCTTGGCCTCCTCTCGTTTGTCCCGTGGTGATACAAACGGACTTCTGACGGTCAGTATTGCAGCTATGGCCAGGCAAGCTTCTAAGCAGCCAAAGATACTGCCGTAGACCAACAGCTTCGCACATCGTAGATCAGCAGGTACCATGGAGAGATGCCTTCCCAAAGCTGTTAGCTCATTGTTGTCCAATGCGCCAACGCGGTGCAGGAGCGTCATTGCAACATCAATTGCCTGACTTTCAGGAGGTGTCAAGGTATTCTGCAGAAAATGTGCCACGTCGCGTTTGGGTACAGTGGCTTTCACGGACAGACACAGCTGCTCCAATGGCAGTCTTCGTATTTCGGGTTGTGGCCTAGGGGCCATATCAGATTCAACCTTGCGCGTGAACATCTTGTAGCATTTCCCAGCCTGGACTCTACCGGCTCTTCCCCTGCGTTGTTTGCACGCGGCCTGTGAAGCCCAGACTTCTTCAAGGCGAACAATGCTGCTGGCAGCATCATAGTTGGTCTCCTTCACACGACCACTATCAATGACGGCGACTATATCGGCAATGGTGATGGATGTCTCTGCAACGTTAGTCGAAGCAATGACTTTCCGCATTCCCCTGGGCGGGCTCGGAAAGACTTTTCGCTGATCAGCCGGTGTGAGAGAGGCATGAAGTGGAAGAGCATGAAGCCGTTCATATGACCTGAGAGCAGCTAAGCAACGTTCGATTTCAAGCGTGCCGGGAAGGAAGATTAGAATGCCGCCAGAATCCTTTCCAAGGTCGTAATCGATCTGTGAGACAAGATCTGCAAGCAGCTTGTAGTTGATTCCCGTTCCCAGCTCTCGAATGCTGCGACCAATAGACAGCTCATCCATTTCAGCCTGAACGTCGTCCGGGTATCCATTCTGTACGCCAGAATCGGTTTGGCTCCGGTTTGTGAGCTTAAGAATGTCATCGAGGTAGTAGTCTGTGACAGGGTATGTTCTCCCAGGTATGTGGACTTCACCAACCTTGTCTGAGCCCCCAAAATAAGAAGTGAAAATCTTGGCATCTAGAGTAGCACTCATAAGCACAATTTTAATATCCGGTCGCACGTTCATAACGTCTTTGAGCAGCGCCAAGAGAAAGTCGGTGTCCACACTTCGTTCGTGAACCTCGTCCACAAATATGTGGCTAAGATCATCCACCGACTGAAGGAGATCTGCCGAGGATTGCATGCGACGGAGCAGTATACCGGTCGTCATGAAAGTGATCCTGGTTTTTGAGCCAATCTTTGAATCACCCCTAATCACATAACCGACCTCATCGCCCATTGGAGAACATCTTTCATCGCTAACTCGATCAGCTAAGCCTAACGCAGATATTCTGCGCGGCTGAGTACAGACTATGTTCGCAGCAGAACCGGTCATGGTGTCGATCATATGATCAAGAATGAATTGGACAGATTGAGTGCTCTTTCCGCTGCCTGTCTCGCCAGAGATGATGACACACTGGTAGGAATTGACAGCCTGCACGATCTGATCCTTCATGTTCCACGCTGGCAAATTTTGGCGAATCTGCAGCATATTTTGCTGCATCGAAGTCGAAGCTCGAGCTTCACGTACAGCTTTCAGTTGAGTACTGATTTGCAGGCTTGCTTGCCTCATCTGCTGTGTACGAGGTGTTTCCCTATTTGCAATAAGCCGAATAACTGGCTCACTATTGGGTTGGGGGTTTTGTTGGCTTATATCTCGGAGTAATCCAGGGTTTTCGAGAATAGTTGGTAGATGGGTCTCCAACCACTCCACCAAGTTGTATATCATGGGTCCTCCCAACAGCGATTCAGCTGCATACCCTAGAGCACGTCGAGTAGCGCTCAACCGAATGTATGCGGGTATGTCCTTGGAGTGGATCGCAATGATTGGAACGCATGATTGTGGATAATCGCCCAAAGGCTGACGGAAGTGAAATGAGAGTGACGCTTTCGTTGATTCTCCTTGAATAACGCACTCATCTGGTGATACAGACGAGAATCTGTCACTAAATACTGCTCCTAATGTATCGAGCTCCTCCTGCCACATTTCAGTGACCTTTTCAGATCCTAACATCAAGCTGCTTCTGTCGATGCTGAGGAGATTGTTCTGCAGCTCCTGTGCAGCTCGTCTCTCGTCGCCATTTGAACGACGCAGAGCTGCAGCACATTCATCAGAGGAATACCCAGCCAGGGCAAGTCGTTTGAGCTTGGACTCTTTTGCCAGGTCGCCGCTAGCTAAGGATATACCGGAGGTGTAATTATCTGGGAAGCTCCACGTGGGCAAATCATCTTCCGGAACATGAATGAGTAGCCATTCGAGAGTCTCTTCACGATCCTTGCACTGTTGAACCGCTTCTTCAACATGGCTACGACGAAACCCAAGATTAGATATCTCTTCGACTATCGTGTAGCGTTGGGATTCAGAAAGCAGGATCTGATAAGGGTTCCACACGCCATGACCCTTCACAATCTCTTCCACTTCAGAGCGGATCTTGTTGCCCATGTCTACACATGGTGCTCGTTCCCAAGCCTTTGGTGGAAGTCTTCCGCTGTTCTGACCTAGTAAGTTCGGTCCTGACGAAGGCGCTGTCTTCTCTTCCGAGGCCTTGGCTTTGCGCACTTCGATGCTATCTCGAATCTTCTTGGTTTCGATCGCCGTTAAGAAAGGATCGGCGTCATACATCCAAGCTCGACCAGCCTTGACATCTTCTTCTTTAAGCTTGGCAAGCTCACCTTTCCATAGGTCTTTGTACTTTGGAGGCAACGTCATATGTATGTTTTTCATGCTTGAAACACGAAAAAGAGCATAGGTAGCAGCGAAATGGCGAGCTTCTAGAGGGGTATTTTGGCTTGCTAGGTCTTGATGGGAGTGTGGCAACTGGAGGGGTGCCAGCTTGGTGGTCTCTTTTGTCCTTGGATTGACTGCAGACAAAGTCACAGTTGACACATGGCCCCCTCCTATGGCGTCCGGCAGTTTTCTCATCGAATACTCAGGCTTGTTCCATTTCTGCTTCTGACAAAGCTCTGAAAGGAGGGTCATTGGAAGTTTGCCCGTCCAGGAGGCGCCCCCAATGACCTTCCTGGCATCTGGACGAGGAACTGTGGGTTGACCGTCCTTCTCGAGGCCTCCTTTGGGAGGATTGTTATGCTTGTTTGTGAAAACGATATGATCACTGTCCGGAACAGCTTGATGTGCCTTCTTCGTGCCACCTCCATGCGGACCCTGGCCTTTCTTTGGTCCCATTGTAGCAACTAATGTGTTCAAATTCGAAAGAGTAAAAAGAAAGAGAAGATAAAATAGACGTCAAAAAATAGGTCTAACCAAAAAGCTAGGAAGGAAAATTGGAAGGGTGTCTCCGCTCAGTGCCACCCTAGCCCCTCTACCGCAGAAGCACGAGCGAGTCTGCCAGCACATCATCTTTTATGGTGTAACTCGGCAGAAAGAGCCTGGCGGCCTTGAAAAAACATTTCTTCGACAGCACACGAATACTACTTACTGCGATGGAATGAATGAGAAATGGAGAAATGCCAAGAAGCAATATATGTCTACTCTAACTAGATAAAGCTAGCCCACTACCGCTGGCTAAGTTAGTGCGGCTTCGTCATTACACAGCCACCCTGAGTCACCTGTTCCTTGCAACGCCTGCAGCCTCTCTGACTGCTGTTTATGAGTATCCTATGAAAAAGCCCCGTACTGTCTTCATTTCTACTACACAAATTCTCGCGATGTCTTGCGCAGACTTTTTTCTGGCATTTATCGCTATCCTCTTTCCACCGATAGCAGGTAAGCTTCCTCACTGGCCCGACTACTGTCCACTGCCCATTTATGTCTGCCTGATTCATTCTTCTCAACGCATCACTCCATCACACTCGCTAACATATAGTGACCATAGTTTGGATCAAAGTCGGTGTATGCACAGCCGACTCGGTTATAAACATCGCTCTCTGTTGTCTAGGATATCTGCCCGGTTTACTTCATGCCTGGTACATAATCGCCCGCTACCCGGAGCATGATTACGACTATGAACCGATCGATAACGAAAGGGGCACCGAGCGAGTGACATACTACTATGTCTCGCATAACCAGCGAGGGACAGGACCGGAAGGGGAAATGAACTATGGTGGGACGAGGCACCCGCAGCCAAAGGGACAACAGCAGACTGGCGTTGTGAGCAATGCGCCTGCACCTAGTAACAGCAGTCCTGCGGGTGCGAGTTCGAGTAGGGAGCAGCATGTTCCTGGAGGAGAAAATGCGCCACCGACGTACGACGATGCTGTCAAAGGAGATCACAAGGTTCAGACCGCTGATTAAGAGAGGCGGCATCAGAAGGAGATTTCGGCGGTTTCTACACATAATAATGCAAGTGTATTCGGGAGTACAGAGGAGCCAACGGGAGGCGGGTGGGTTTGATACTATGCCTTAAGAGACTTACAGGCTAGCAATGGGCTAGCTCCTGTGGACTTTGTTTCCAGAATGATGTGTTTTGTTTCGCATCCACCTGGACATGATGTGAAGGCTCTTCCGTGCGTCATACATTGCTCATACATATCGTTATTGCATTATTCTTTGTCCTTCAGGCTTACGTTTTTTGCTTCAGTAACTCTAACAACTCTTTTGGGGGATCTTGTCGATACCCTTCCGGATTGTTTTTGGTCCATCTCCACAAATCCTCGCATGCATCTTCTAGCGTTCGTAGCGTCCTCCAACCAAGCTCCTCATTTGCACGACTTGGATCGCTTGTTAAGTTCAGCACGTCACCAGCTCGACGACCCACAACCTGATAGGGTAGGTCTCTTCCTACTGCTTTTGAAAAGGCTTTGATCATCTCAAACACTGTCGATCCTCGTCCAGTCCCAAGGTTCCAAGCTCGAACGCCTGGATGCTTTTCTCGAAGATAGTTCAGAGCTTTGAGATGCCCATCCGCCAGGTCGAGGATATGGATGTAATCCCTAATGGCGGTTCCGTCGTGGGAACTGTAATCTAAACGACCATTCTCCGTTAACACGAGTTCACGACGTGTGCAGTATGGACCAACAAGTCCATTGATGGGTTCGAAAGAAATGACTGCCCT